ATTGTAAGGGTTATTAACCCTCGAAAACATAGAAAATACACGATCATTGATCAATCAAAAACAACTAAACGGGACGACTCCTCCCTGAATGGAAAATAAATCCCGGCTACCAACGCCAATAATTATTAATAATGCAACTAATCATAATGCGGCTAAACTGCGAATCATTATAATGATGATGCTAATTACAAAAAGTAAAGGATCAATCATGCGACTAATCCTTATTTTTGGGGGAATCATCCGGCTATCAACGCCTCTAAATTCTAATTATCCGACCGCAAATCTTGTTTTTGAATATCCTCCCGTGCTTGTCAACCCCTCATACTAATAACTGTAAAACAGTTTAAATTGCTCCTTTATAAACACACTAGTTGAAAATTAACAAGACAGATGGTGACAATACACTTATCAAGCAAATCTGAGCGGGGTTTTAAACAGGAATATGTGAACCAATCCTTAAAGGCCGGCAGAAACTCACCGGTACTCGGCCATCTTTAAATAGTAAGATAATGAAGATCTATATATTTACTTTAATGTGAGTTAATCAACCGAATTACAGTACAATGGTGTTGCTTGACTAAATTATCATGTTATTCAATTATTAAAAGAGAATGGAGGGGTTATGGAGGCAGGAGGCTATTAAGGGTACGGCGAGTGGAGGAGATGTTTCGGAGTAAAATTGTTGCTTAATGTGCGGCGTCGGTTAATAGCAGTCCCTTTAATCAGTATACGATTTGTTTCTTTAGAACGTTTCTGACTTTAATTTGTGTCGATGATGCAGATGATGGGCTTTTAATGTGTTAAGGAGCTGGTCTGAAAGATGTTCTCGATTATTTGTTGGAAGATTTGGATTGTTGAGTGCTTTGACCTTCAATTTACAGGTTAAAATCCCATTTTCCGTCCAGAATCGATTGTTTTAAAATCGCAATTAGCTCCTTTGTTTGACATTGAGCAATATGTGAGATTTTCTCACTTATAATAGTCTGATTTTACTTTAGAGATCACGTTTTGGAGAGTATGTTTTTTAGAGTATGTGTTAGAGATTACGTTTTGGATTTCCAGACTGCCATAAATACTTTTTACCACATTATACCCAGTAGGCTATAGCTGTAATAATACACTTAATAATTCCACAACCAGTCTAGGTCCCCTTAGATATAATAAAATAGTTTTCTCTTATTAACATATCTTTTATTAACATATCTTTTATTAGAGGCGGGTAAAATAGACATCGGAGCTGTTATTTCATTAACTAATGCTTTTAGTGAACGCTTGCACCTAACTTGTTAGATTTCTTTTTCCCGCCAGCAAGGCTGAATATTATTTAAAATTCGACTGTGACCTTATATATCTGTTTGAAAAGTGTCTAATAGAAAAAATATTCGCAGTTTGTTACTTCAACACGGCTAGCATAAATCAATGAGTATTGTACCGAGTAGTGTAGCTTTTTATCGGTAGACAATATTTTATATTTAACTACCGGTCAATTATTTGATAAGTGGATGCAACTGGACGGTTATTATAAAACCACAAAGTATCATTATTTAACCTGCTTAACTGCCTTGTAATCTTGTAATATCCGCTAAAAACGAAGAGTTAAAACACAGTCTACATTATATACACACTACTCCCACTATATTTATAGACTATGAATATTATAGCGTACATTAAGTTGCTTCCTTGCCTGAGGGTGTTGTCTAACTAACTAACTCTATCACTCTCTCAGCAGACAATTCCTAATAGATTATCGTCTGTTGCCCACACACACAAGCAACACTTCAGTTAATTGTTGGCAAACTTTATTTTATGATCTCTCTTTCCTCCTTCTCCTTTTCTAAAGTGTCAGTACTCAGTCACGGTTTATCGTGGTCTCTGATTGGTGGAGTGGAGCGAGCTGATTGGTTGAGGTGTTTTGGGGGACGTTAGATTAGTATTATCAACACTGTCTCTCTCTCCGGAGAAGAAAGTGTGGGTTGTTGTTGGTAGATTCATAATAAACTGGTTGTTGTTTCTTGTGAAGTGAGCTCCACTATGTTAGTGTGTGGCAGTTGGAAGTGTCAAGTGAGTTCTGACGTTCTTTGTTTTGAGGTTATCTACTGAGTGGAGAATCGGGTGATTGTCAGACCAAAGAGGTTTATTTCCACGATTTTAGTCGGTGCAAACAGCTCCTAGAAGATCTTATAAGGTTCCAGAATATTCGCCACGACAGAGCACGACTTTTGCCCACGTGCAATCAACACCGCAATATCCACCTTCACAGTCTACATAGCATCCTGTTTCACCTCCAGTTCACATCCAGCTCGCTTTAACAACCTAATTTACTGGCTCTAGTTGTTCCGTCCTCCCAACTCCGCAAACTCTCATTACCAGCACTTTTATACGCAATACTCTGTGTCTCCTCTACTCAACCTTCAGAACAAGTTTGCGCTTCCAATTTCTCAAGAATCAAGATCTGTCGAAAATTTGTAATAGTAGTAATAGTAGTAGAGGTTTGCTTTCTGCAGAGTGATGTGATTGGTGATCGGTAACAAGCAACGAGCTGCTACTAGGTTATATCTCCCTCCTCGTTTATGTCACAGCGGACAATAGTAGTATTATTGGATAACAAATCGTCATTAATTGATGAGATGATTGATTAGAGTTGTATCAGTAACAGATCCATACTTATAGCGTCAATTTGTCGTCCGCACCGCGATTGTTGCCCTTTTAGTGAGATCCCCTGCCCATGTTATCAAGTGCAGTAATATATCTCTCCCTACTGCTAGCTCCTTTACAAAGGAAACTAAATCTGCTACTCAGTAGGGCCAGGTCACGTGGGTTGCTCACGTGACGTAGCCCGCAATCCACCAATCGTGGCACGTGGGCGATGACGTCACGCACCAACCGACCAATCAGAGAGCAGAATTCCATGTCAATTATGTCGAACTACGCTAGGCGCGTGCGTTATCCCGGGGAGAGAGAGAGGAGGAGATTGTTCAGGGTCATGGTGCTTTTTAGGGCAGTAGACTGTTATTTCGCAGTTGATTGGCAGTGAAAGTTGGAGCGAGAAGAAATGTTCCCCAGATTTTAGAGGTACACGTTCGGGCTGGTTATTAGTTTGATCCTTGTTTTAGAACTTAGCAAATTAGACTCCAGCCATCTGTTTCAAATTGAGAGTTCATGCAGTGACGCACGTGTAGTAACGCTTTGGTGAGATATCCCGTGTGTCCACATTACTATAATAATTCGTGCAAACTTTCTGCAATTGTCCTCCTCTCCACTTAAAATAGAAAAACTAAGCAAACCATCTTGATTAACCTGATGGGCTTATTCACCCGACATCTATCACGTGACTGTTTGCTGGCCCCTGATTGGCCGCTGATTCCCACTTCTACCACCTCATTGGTTCCTGACCTGAAGCTTGTTTGAGTTTGTAGTTAACTTGATGGTTAAGAACATTATTAGTATTTGCTGGTTTTCGTTTGTTTTCCAGAGTTGTTAGCGATGTTGTGGTCGGTAAACAGGAAGTGGGGGAGTGTTTCACTGGTATAAGTGGGGTGGCAATTAATCTTCGTACCGAGGACACCCTGGGGGCGGCTACAGTATCCTAATTATAATTATAAACATCAGATCTCAGACCCCACTGTGGTTGGAAATCAGTGTCCGTCTACGATTCCGTGTTGATTGTAAGGCTTAGTGTTTCTAGCTTTAATTAGGGATAAAGTTAGATGAGGAATCTCACCTCTAGTGTGTGTTGCCTCCCTAGTTTCTAGTGTGTTGCCTCCTTAGTTTCTAGTGTGTTGCCTCCCTAGTTTCTAGTGTGTGTTGCCTCCCTAGTTTCTAGTGTGTGTTGCCTCCCTAGTTTCTAGTGTGTTGCTTCCTTATTTTCTAGTGTTTGTTACCTCCCTAGTTTCTAGTGTGTTGCCTCCCTAGTTTCTAGTGTGTTGCCCCCCTAGTTTGTAGTGTGTTGCCTCCTTAGTGTCTAGTGTGTTGCCCCCTAGTTTGTAGTGTGTTGCCTCCCTAGTTTCTAGTGTGTTGCCCCCTAGTTTGTAGTGTGGTGCCTCCTTAGTTTCTAGTGTGTTGCCTCCTTAGTTTCTAGTGTGTTGCCTCCCTAGTTTCTAGTGTATGTTGCCTCCCTAGTTTCTAGTGTGTGTTGCCTCCCTAGTTTGAAGTGTGTTGCCTCCCTAGTTTATAATGTGTTGCCTCCCTAGTTTCTAGTGTGTTGCCTCCCTAGTTTCTAGTGTGTTGCCTCCCTAGTCTCTAGTGTGTTGCCTCCCTAGTTTCTCGTGTGTTGCCCCCTAGTTTGTAGTGTGTTGCCTCCCTAGTTTATAATGTGTTGCTTCCCTAGTTTCTAGTGTGTTGCCTCCCTAGTCTCTAGTGTGTTGCCTCCCTAGTTTCTAGTGTGTTGCCCCCTAGTTTGTAGTGTGTTGCCTCCCTAGTTTCTAGTGTGTTGCCTCCCTAGTTTCTAGTGTGTTACCTCCCTAGTTTGTAGTGTGTTGCCTCCCTAGTTTCTAATGTGTTGCCTCCCTAGTTTCTAGTTTGCTGCCCCCTAGTTTCTAGCACGAAGTTCGTCAAGTCTTTCTCGGCCTGATCCGTCACTTGACGGAGTTACTAAATTAATTGTGATTGCTGTAATTTCTTAATTTACTCCATTCGGTGTCAAGTTATTAAGTTTCTTGGCGCTTCCCCGGTGTTGACCAGGCCCGAACCAGTACTTAGTGTGTCTATACCTCGAATTGTAAATTTGTAATTTGATAATTCTTATTTTCAATTATTGTAAATCTTTTGATATACGTGCGCGAATACGGCTTCTTCAGTACTGGGGGCCGTTGTATTTGTATCAATATACGATTATTTGTTTAAACTTCGCAATAACTCTCAGCAATGTTGCAAAATTTACTGGTCATATCTTTTAAAGTTTCTTGCCCGACTCAATCCCAATTTCCTTTCCACTTCATCTCACACCGCTACCGAAAACACCCACAAAATCAAAAAATCTACCAAAACACCCAATTAATCAATTAATATTCATCAACAATATATAACCATTTAAATTTCTAAGGTTTCATCATGACGGAAAGCGTACAAAGAAGCTCGGAGTCGGTGATCCCCCTGATAAAGTCTGAACCCCTCCTTAAAGGAGCAGATAACTCAGTGACTTACAACATCGAGGGTCTGCTCGGCTTCAAGGAGTTCAACAGCCGTCCCGATATCTTCACTGAGGTGAGATAATTTGTAATTTGATAATTGGTAATTAAGGTGATTAGGTAATAGGGGTGATTAGGTTAGAGTTGGGTGATAATTACGTGGCTTGGTACCGAGGTGGTAGTGGCACACCTCCGATTTAATTAGATTTTGTTGTATTTATTGGAAAGATTTCGCTTTCTTATCGGAGATCGGTGTGACCTGGAATTTTGGCTGGTTTGTCTAGACCGTTTGAGGTGTTTTGTTGTTGACAACAATTCGACTTTTCACATCTAAGTTTAGCAGAGAAAAAAAAACCCAGGTGCAATAATCTGAATAGACCCCACTAATTAACAAATAACTTAATTAACACAATTAACACACTAATCTCCCAGATGAAGAGAGAGAACAACCAGCAGCAGGAGGCAGTGCACCCCTACCTGACCCAGACAAAACACGATAACAAGATCATGCTCCACAGCTCCCACCACCGCCTCGGCAGCCCTGTCAAATCAGGTATTTAGCCAGCTAATTGGTTAATTATTTAATGGTCTTATATAGCGTTTAAGATAAGTAGTCAGTTAATTAGTCCATGACCTGATTGAGTTCGGCATAAAAACATGTTGCTGTTTGTCTAGAAAAAGCTTGTCTAGATAAGCCTCCTCCTTCTCTTATAAGTTCTCTCTCTTCTCCCGAAACCTACCCAAGTACGACTAATGACTGAACACTTGGTTCTATCCAAGTTCTCCACCTCCTTCCCCCTCCTTAAACATGGGTTTCTCTCTCCTTCTCCCTCTCCTTCTCCCCCGATAAATGCTACCTAAGTACTCGTTTCTGCCCGATAAAGCCAGCTGAGTAGGAGTTTATAGTCGGCCCCTAACTTCACGAAGCCGCATACCCAGGAGGCTCAATGGTTTCTTCACACATTTTACAACAGCGCCTAATCACAGACAGTCTCCGAAGGAAACACAACAACAATACGAATCTTAATTTTTCTGATGACCCTGTCTTTAATAGTTTAATTTTTGGGTTCCTGCAGCTAGTCGCCAAATGCGAAAGGTTTCCCAAACCCAAAACGACGGCTTCTCGAACCCGTGAATTGCCCTTGAATTGAACGAAAGGTTTCGTGAGAGGCAGCGGATATCTCGACTTGTAATTCTTATATTTGTATATTATCATTATATATTAATATAATATGTAACTGGTGGACTCTTATCCTATAGATTTAATTTGTCGTGGTATCTCTTGCCTAGGATCTCACTCGAGTGACTATCCCACTAATTTTTGACAATCTTCTTGTTTCCGATCGCCCTGTACCATTATGATATTCCTGTTCAGTATCTCCATCTGCACGTGGGCGAATCTCTCCAATCTCACTGGTCCCAACATATCACGTGCTACTCAGCTCCCTCTCTTATTCGTCCGTCTCACGTTATAATTCTGTCAATTATTATTACTGTTTTATGCAATTAGGATGCATTACCGGTTGTCCATCCTGTCGGAATGACTCACTCCCTGCCAAGGTTCTTTGTTTCGAGCATTGTGCCTACTTTTACTTTGACATCCCTGTAATAATAGCTAATTTATATTTATAACATAAATTATAGCTATATTACGTAGATTATATAGGTTATTATAGTCGTAAAAACGGAGATTAATGTGTTGAAGTAATATAGTGATTTATTTGGCAAGACGTAAATTAGTTCGTATTATATTATATCGGTTTCGTTGTCCAGTCCACCTTTCTTCACCATCTTCCACTAAATATCCCAATCTTCTGGTAATTAATAAAACCAGAATAACGTGCAGCATTTTCAATGGAGCTCCCTCTGATTAGTCAGACGGGAGTACCTCAACCTGGTAACAACCTGGTAACCTGGTAACCTGGTTACCTGGTAACAGGGGTGGTAACCAGGTTACCTGGTTACCACCACTGTACCCTGGGAACCTGGTAACCTAGTATTAGTAAAAGTAATGGTTCAGACACTATCCTAGCACTCCACCATAGTGCTCGTTATCACGTCCGGCACCGCGGTTATGAAGTTTTATTGTATTAAATTATTGCACATTCTAGCTTGGCTGCTACCCCAATGAGGACACCAATTTGTTAAATTAGCACAATAATAATAATAACACATTTGAGCAGAGAGAGAGAGAGAGAACACACCGGAAATTAAATATCGTTTCATAATAGTCGGGTGTACGTGGGGATTGGGAGAGGACGATAACAGGTCCGTTGTTTAGACTTAAATGAGAGGAGGACTTTAATACGGGGAGGACTTTAATACGGGGAGGACTTTAATACGGGGAGAACTTTAATACGGGGAGGACTTTAATACGAGGAGGACTTTAATACGGGGAGAACTTTAATACGGGGAGGACTTTAATACGAGGAGGACTTTAATACGGGGAGGACTTTAATACGGGGAGAACTTTAATACGGGGAGGACTTTAATACGGGGAGGACTTTAATACGGGGATGACTTTAATACGGGGAGGACTTTAATACGGGGAGAACTTTAATACGGGGAGGACTTTAATACGGGGAGGACTTTAATCGGTCCGCTATGTTCAGACTTTAACAGGTCGGGGATATTATGAGAGTTGGGGGTTATATCGGGTGATATAGAGTGATTTAGTACCTGATTCATGATAGATTCCGGGGTAGATATGCACTAGTTTTCTGTAAGTTGGTTAAACAACTTATTTATTGCGTCAACTTTATCCGGGGAGATATAACGTGCATTTTATCCCACTTCATGTTTACTACAGAAAAAATACCGAGAATATGACATTTATTGTCGCTTGTACATCAGAATCAATGCTATGAACAAATGCCACCCAAATATATATTGCCATAATTTTAAGGTTTTAATACCAATTATTTTACACAAATCACTAATGATGACATCTTGAGACTTGATTGCGTCTGAATGCATGCAGGGGGATGCAGGGTGCAGATTTCAGTACCACCATCAAAGCTTTATATTTATTGGTCACCAGTAACAACTTTTACATATTCAAACTTCAAAAGGTTTCTCGTAATGGAGATTTAACGACTGGTTGATCTGTGGAATCCAAGCTGATACCGGTCCGGCTGGTCACCTTGCAGTATAATTACATCATATTTAAATACCCACTACTGGATCGGTCCCGCACGGTCTTGTACTATTTGACTTTACAAACATAAATAGTTTGCGATGATCACATCGTTTTGAGGTTTTATAGGTAGGTTGTTTGTAGTTGTAAGCCTTTGTGTTTATAAAAAAGCAGGCGTACAACTGATAAATCACAATCAGCCACAAAGGAATGATTTCCCTCGATGTGCCGTAACACAACTGCTGAATTGAAACTTCCAGCTTTTTTAAACTTCTTTTGAAAAAATTTCATTTGTTGATCCTCGCCAACAACAAAGTCAGTACAGTAAAACCGTGATTTACCGTGATTTACCGTGATTTACCGTGCCTACCTACACCATTGAAACCCGGTCCATGTTCACGGTCCGTTTTAGTTAACTGAAATATTTACCAGAACTCGGAAACACACTTTCTAATTCTAATTTGTCACAATGCTGGAGAGGTCGTTAAAACACCCGTTGAACTAGAACCAGGTTCCCTTTGACGGCCTCCTCTCCAACCCAAAATCAGTTTCCTTACCGGCCAAATTTAGAAATTACTACACTATCTTTTAAATTACTGCACTATATTTTAAATCATACCCCCGAGCAAGTACTTGAAATAATTCAATCGGATTTTTTCCAATAATTTTTAAAATTACCCCCCTAATGTTAGCTCTCTGTAGAACTTAACCACATATATTACGTAAATCGTGAGGAGAAGATTTCAGTATTTCTCTAGCGTTTCTGATAATTTTCAAGGCAGGCTAACGACACAAGGATGATAGTTGAAAACGCACCGAAAATGAGGCCTATAGTGCATCACGAGATCATCCTAGCATATAATATAGTATTTAATATAGTATATAATATAGTATATAATATAGTTTTAGTAGTTAAAGTACTGCAACTGGGCAGACACGTAGAACTAAAATCTTAAATTCAATAATTGTTTTCGGGCGTTTAATTTCGGCGAGAGATTTAACACCTTGGTACTAGAAACCTGCGAGGAGTACTAGAAACGTGGGGGTTTTTTGGCTAAATTAAACCCGGATCACCAGTAATATCTGTATTAAGTTGTCTTAAAAATCTGTAAAAACAGCAGGTCCCCCCTTAGTTGACATTTTCTGTCTGGTTTGGTTTTAGGGGCCGACGTTTGGCTCACGATCATGAGGAGCACCAGACTTCACCTGACACTTATTTGGTTCTAACTTGATAATTTGGAGATACTTATCAAATCGTCATGAGATATAATGAGTTATCATCATCATCATCATCATCATCGACTGATTTGGTGACATGCCGGAAAAGTAAACGTAATTTTTATCAACTTTGACGTAATTTTAAGTGGTAAGTGATAAAGATGAGGATCAAGACAAATCCTCCGAATCTTGCTCGTTGCTCCATTATCTGTTCTTATTGAATCAGGTTAATGTGTTTGAGTTAGCTCATCGTTATGCAATTATATTCTCATGGAAAAGACGCAACTTTTAATCAGAATAAAATATCACTTCATTACCGTTGTCTACCCCCCCTCAATACTCCACAGCACTATAACTATAAGTGCAACAACATGGGTATTTGATAATTGGTAATCTCAGAGAGTTACGATTTAAAACGTATATATCTGTTCCTCCTTCCTTCTTCTCCCCCTTCATTCCAAGTGGTATAATTCGTTTCCTCAACTTTTAATCGAATAACAAGTACAGACGGCTAATTATTATTTCATGTAATTAGTGCCGGCCGGCCTCATTGGGTCTCAGACCCTGAGGGTATTTACCAGACGAAACTTTGAAATAATGAGGCGCACGTTTAATATAAATTTTGATATATGCACATTGGATAGAAATGATAGAGGGAAAATGTGATAATTTTATCGTCTTATCTTTAATGTGTATGTATTTGCGATCGGAACAAAGTAAATTAAATATTCAACTGAATATTCAGTCTTTTTGAAATCGTATACTTGCTCCTTATTAATATAAATAATATCATTTGAGCACTTTGCAAAAGAAGTTCACAAATCAGTATTGATATATTGATAGGAAAACTGAAATTTTGAGTCACATGATCGAAATTGCTGATATGCGTGACTGGCTGTTAAAATAATCTGTTCAAGTCACCAACTTATGGACCTTCCCTCTCTTTGAAGATGACCCCAGTATCTGTATATATACCAGATAAGAAAGTAAACCAGAAAGCAGACCACGCAAATATTAAGTAGTTGGTCATCCACTCAATCCAGCTTAGCCATAATCTGATAATTCACCAGTCCCAGCTTATAAAGCTATAAATCTATAAGTATAACACACATCTCAAAATGGCTTCTTCTTACCCACTCTGAGAACCAGTATTAATTCTTGTTAACATTATAGATAAAAATCACCTGGTTTTTGTTATCGTTTATATCGTTTCTGGCAGCTGAGTTCTTCCGAATACCCATATCCTCACAAGCGTAACGAACATAAATTATTACACATCCTTTTTTACCGGACTTTTTTATCAAAGCAACCATCAACCATGTCACCCCAAAGTTACCGAAGTGTTTACAAAACAGCTGCATATAATGAATAAGCCCTGTCATAAACGGGAACTCAGAACATTGTAATTTGCTTTTGCCAAAATATGTGGGTACCGATTCCCAGGAATGATTTTGGAATAATGGAATAACTTAATTTATGAAATTCTTATCGATAATTGAATTTTTTCCTATATTTCCCGATGACCCACTAAGATATACTACCTCGTGAGTTGATTTTCTCCGAATGTTTGCCGTTAAATTCAATACCAGTGGCAGAAAATCCAATTTTCAATGCAATGAACTAATTTAACAGCCTCAAACTTAGTCACCAAAATAAACTTGCAATCACTGTGTAATCAGAACAGCAATAAGAAATATTGATTGAATCTGTCATGTTGTCCTTGGTGGGGGTATTGTAAAGTATGTCCTTGGTAAGATAAAGTATGTGGCGACTGGGGAGGGTTATTGAGTTTCCGGCCATTACGACCTGTTCTAAACTCAATTGGTATCCTTGACATTAGCAATTAGGTGGAGGTCAAGTTTTAAGGGGGACGGCAACTTTTCAAGGCTGTTCAGGGGGGGGGGGGGCAGCAACTGGTGGATATTTTGTGGGTAGTTAAGTAGTTAAGGAGTTAAGGCTGGGTAGTGGCTACACATTGATGAGGTAAGGCTACATGTAGTTGTCACGTGTAGTGGTCACTTAGTGGCTGTTTGAAGGCTACATATTGACTGCCTGGTGGTTATTTCACGGTTACTTTGAGGTAATTTAAGGGCTGTTATATGGTGGCCACTGTGGTCAGGTCTCCCTCCCCCCCTCCTCTCTCCGTTTTAACACATCTCTCCTACATAACAAGCCACACTACCCACCCTCTATTTAATATAGTCTTTGTTTTTTGACAATGCCCAATAATTCTACTAAACCAGTGCTTCAATCCCGGTCTAACCAATCACAACCCACTAATCCACATCTCGACCAATCAAATCAGCCGAAATCACCCCACGTGACATCACCTCTTATAATCAAATAAATATATACAAGTTTATGAATGGTAAGAATATATCTCGAATGAATAAATGTATAGCGTGCGGAGATACCCTCGATTCAAACCCTTAATTTGGAAACAAAGCGTTAATCATCTCTACTTTTCTCCCTGCTAGCCCTCTAAATGCCGCCCGCTCATTGGCTATCAGCGGGGAATAACCTCCCCTGATTGGGCAATGCCCTCCTCGCACGCAAGACAGAGCTTTTGTTCTCGAATAAGAGCGGGTTATGTACGTGTTAGTCCTGGTCATTAGTAATGTAGTTGAATTGAAAACCGGCCGAGTAGGCGTCAACGTGGAGATGGTGGCTGGAACCGGGGGTCTGAACTGAGGGGTTGAATGGGAACGGGGTTTGAACTGAAGGTGGGGGATTTGAACTGAGGGGTTGAACGGGAGGGGATTTGAACTAAGGGTGGGGGGGGGGGTTTACCGGACAGGTCATACTTGACAAAAGTCGTTTGTTTTGAAGATAATGTGCTGAGTAGGTGTAGGTACTGTGAGCCTTCCTGTGGGAGAGTGGGATAGACAGGTTTTTAATGGAGGCTATTGTTTCTCCTGAATATTCAACCTTAAAGTTCAACCTAGACCCTAAATCTGTGTGAGTCACTTTGCCGTGGGTAATCTCATGGGGGAGTGTGAAAACAATGCTGTGTAAAGGTGTATGTTATATCACGGGTAGATGTGAGTATTTCCTAATACGGCTTTAAAACTGGGGGAGAGGGGGGGTCAACCTCATTTTACCTCATTCGGGCAGCCTAAAAAAGGCAAAATTGGGATGAGGTAGAAATAAAACTAGCCTAGTAGGTAAGTTAGTAACCTAGTTACTCGTAGTTAGTAACCTAGATAGTAACCTAGTTGGTAACCTAGTTGGTAACCAACCTACTTGTTCAGATAGCGGTGAGAGTGGTATGTCCCCTGGTACAGATTCAGACGGCAAACAGAGAAAGTGGAGGAACAGACACACTTTCACCCAGGCTCAACTTGATGTAAGTAACCATAAGTAACCATAAGTAACCATTAGTTACCATTAGTTACAATTAGTTACCATAAGTTACCATTAATAACCATTTATTACCAATTAAGTAACAATTAGTTACCATAAGTTACCATTAGTAACCATTATTTACAAATTAAGTAACCATTAGTAACCATTAGTTTCCATTAGTTACTAATAAAGTAACCATTAGTTACCATAAGTTACCATTAGTTACCATTAGTTACCATAAGTTACCATAAGTTACCATCAGTAACCATTAGTTACAATTACTTACCATAATTTACCATAAGTAGCCATTAGTTACTATTCGTTACCAATTAAGTAACCATTAGTTACCATAAGTTAAGATTAGTAACCATTAGCTACCAATTAAAACATGTAAAATATTTCCTTGTGTTTGACATTTAACACCCTATCAGGAGTTAGAACAAGTCTTTGCGACTACCCACTACCCCGACATCTTCACCAGAGAAGAACTTGCTAACAAACACAAACTCACAGAAGCCCGAGTCCAGGTTTGAAAACATTCCCTTGTGTTTGAAATCTTTACTCATGATTTTTTTCAATATTTTCGTTGTAAGCCAGCCAGGCCCATGTTCTTTGAAGCTTGAAAGTGCTTATTTTTTCAAGCTAGCACTGATTAAATTGGAGTCCCTGTATTTCTGCATAACATCTACTGCCGTGCTTATTAATCAAAATTTCATTTCTTTGGCCCGAGAAAACGCTGTTATCCTACAATCCTACGACATTTATGATTTGAGGATATATCTTGCACGTGGACCAAGACTAAATGCACCTTATCATAGAGATATCTCATTTATTCAGAACTAATTCGTATGAGAATTGCATTTTCTAACATGGTGGTCACGCGGTGGACACAGTTTTAATCAACTAATAAAATCGTCCTAAATCACCATAAACCGACAAAAAGACCTGATTTTTTTCATCAACATTTCCAGAAAATATACCTATAAAAATCAGCATACTAGATGTCCCCAAAAGTGGCAGTATTCTAGATGTATTCTGAACGGACAAGCATTGAACACTCCTAATTCACCAAGAACAACTCACCATCCACTATTTACCACCTCCTGTCCACTATTTACCACCTCCTGTCCACTATTTACCACTTATTACCCACTATTTACCACCTCCTGTCCACTATTTACCACTTATTACCCACTATTTACCACCTCCTGTCCACTATTTACCACTTATTACCCACTATTTACCACTTATTACCCACTATTTACCACCTCCTGTCCACTATCTACCACTTATTACCCACTATTTACCACCTCCTGTCCTCTATTTACCACCTCCTGTCCACTATCTACCACTTATTACCCACTATTTACAACCTCCTGTCCTCTATTTACCACCTCCTGTCCACTATTTACCACATCCTGTCCACTTACTACCACTTATTACCCACTATTTACCACCCACTATCCACTATTTACCACCTCCTGTCCACTATCTACCACTTATTACCCACTATTTACCACCTCCTGTCCTCTATTTACCACCTCCTGTCCACTATCTACCACTTATTACCCACTATTTACCACCTCCTGTCCACTATTTACCACCTCCTGTCCACTATCTACCACTTATTACCCACTATTTATTAAACAAATAATTTCATCAGGTGTGGTTCCAAAATCGTCGAGCTAAACATCGGAAGAACGAGAAAGCGAAGACAGCAGCGGAGAACCTGATCAACAGTAATCTGATGAGCAACATCGGTAACATCGCCCTTCAGAGCGCAGCTGGAGCACTACTTCACCCACACATCAGGTATGAGGGGAAGTTTCTGAGGGAGAAGGGGGATAACTTAGATTTCCAATTCTACAAGGGTCCTCGGATTTGAAATGTTCACTCCGCTAGAGGACCAACCTAAACTAAAACCTAGGGGATGCGGGTCATTTTTCTCATTTTAAGACTAATCGGTTTTTGATAACTAAGTTTTATAAAAAGTTTTCTAAAAATAATACTTTCAACTCTCCAGGGCGGCAGCACTACAAGCCCTGATGATGTCACCAACAATGTCACCCACCACCCCGCCCATCCTACCAGGCGACTTATCGTAAGTTACCAGATGTACATAAAGTTCACCTTTTTTAATCTGCTATCATAACTTGTTGTTATCTGGGTTATGACGCAAATTGGGAATATTACGGGAATGTTCTAGTCCATAAATACAAATGCAAAACTTTTCTCCTTCAAAATCAAAATGTCTAGCTCCGAAGCCTAATTTCTTCGAGCTATTTGAAACATCATCAGACATGAGACACCATGTTGTCATCTTAAAATCTTAATGAAACCGTTTGTTTAGTAGCTGGCGGTTTTGCTAGAGCCTCTAATAAACGACCCGCTTATCCATCAAAAGAATTCCACTAATGAGATAGCCTCACCTTAATATTAAGTACTTAAAACAAAATTTGGTAATTATAAGAAAGTCACCGTAACATGTTGCTCAATTAAGTTTATTTTTAGAACTGGAATAAATTTGGATTCTGATGAATCTGAAATCTGGAACCTCAATTTTTTGGACAATATCAAATAACTTTTAATAAACTCTTAATGACCGGTAATTTTGATTGATTTTATATTTTTGACGTAAATGAATGTCACAATTTGTTACAAACCAATCTTATAAAACTGACATTTCAACTTGAAGTACTTTCACTGAGCCCCACAAACCATGACCACTTGTACATCTCCCAATTCTCCCCCAACATCTTTGCGAATCCAACATAATTCTACTCAATTAAACTTGAGAGCTCCCCAAAATCTAGAGATTTAAAGATTCTACAACCTTATGAGCTGTAAAATTTACCTCTTTGTTCTGGATAATAAAATACGCTCTCTCCCTAATGAAGGAGACCTCCCGAACAAAGCCTTGTTGATTGCTTAGCGCCTGCATTAATCGCCTCTAGCTCAAACCAATTAAATTTATTTCGAGAAATACTAGCGCTCCCCATGTTCTTTGTGTTCTTGAAATTATTTTTACTGTTCATCATTGGCTAAGAGTCGGGGTGAGAGGGCCTCTGGTCGTTGAATGTGGTGTGAGTGATATTGTTGGGGATTTTTGGGGTGTTGAGTGCAGAGGCCTTTGTGTGGTGAGGCAATAGGATCATTAACATCATTTCACCTCCTCCATTGAAATCAAACTTGCTTCTTTACAAGAAGTCATCGACTGTTTGAATTTATTGTCAGTGCTAAGTGAGCTAAGGGGGTTGATGGTGAATAAAGTTTTTACTATGGTCCTCTGGGAGCAGGAATTTATGGGGTTTTGTCCGTGGAAAGTTAAAAGGTCTGGATATTATTTAAAAGACGTAATCAATTGTTTGATTTTATTGTTAGTGCTAAGTGAAATAAAAGGTGAAGTGGTGAATACAATTTGTAATGCAGTATGGTGACCTGGTCCCAGGACTTTTGTACGTGGAAACTTCTTCGCCTTTTAATCTATTAACCTTTTAGAATCTCATCAAATTTATGATATCACGAATTCTGCGGTATGGTCTTCATTAATATATATTGGTAAATTATTGCAACGGTCTGTGGTACTGTAACTTTTGTGGAATTTCTGCATATTATCCAGCTTTAGTACCCTGTGGCCTATACTTCATTCCCTATATTATAGTGGCCTGATAAGAAATTAGGATAATTCTTTTAAAAACTTTAATTTGTACCCACTACCCGTGGTGTATCAAACTTTAAAGTGCATATTTCAAACTTAAGAGATAGTCACATAAATTTAGTTCATAGCATGTGAAGCTAGAAATTCCAGACTATCCTAAATCAATCTATTTCAACTTTAGAATCTGACCAAATCGGTGACGACATCACGAGATTTACGGTCTGGCCTACATAAAATAACGTGACGGATTGATGAATCATTGCAACTGTTTCTGGTACGATAACTTCCTTTAAGTTTACGAGGCCATAGAATGTAGACATACAATGAAGCGATAGTCCCTTCAATTCAATTTACTATCATGTCAAAAATAAGAAAAATCTTTAAAAAAGTTTAACTTGAACCATTGCCATATCGCATTTAAAGTGTTTATTTTGACAATACACCCGGAAACTTTGTCTTGGTATTCAAACCCCCACTTTTCACGGCTCTACAAAATGTCTTTGTTTATAATTAGACATATATATATTCTAATTAGGTAAGTATGAATAATGAAATGGCCTCCCTCAACCAATCAGAAACAGCTGTTTCGCCCACGTGTCCCCCTCCTGACCTGAACCTACCAATCATCTTTCAGTACAGCTAATTCAGTGATAATCGGGTTATCTAGTGCTAAATAAGATTTGCTACTCTTCATCGACGTTCAGTTTAACCCCGGCCCCTTTTCGGCCAATCACACCCCGGCAAACACGTCACGTGTCCGCAACCGACCGATCAGATCAAAGAACGGCCCGCATGGTATGCTAGTTAAGGGGCGTGCTGTAATTTTCCACCAATACAGGTTTTAGATTCAATTGGATTCGGGTCTAAATATCAATTTAAATTTACTGCCCTTGACCAAGCCGCCTATTGGAGTCATTAATTTTTCAATTAAACAGAACATTAACTTTTAGAGCACTGGTTTGAAAAGCAACAAATGTCACGCTAAATTTCATGCTCCGAAATCTGAAATCATGTTATATGATAGTTGGCCCGGACCCCGAAACGTTCCAAGAATTCTCACTTGGTACATTATCAAGTTCCATCTCCATATTTGGTCGGTCATGAATAGCGATATGAATGATTTTAAAATAATATTCGACACAAGGCAATTATTGGATTATGATAGTGAACCGCATGAGACGCATCTTAAATACCAAAAGTTTTAAATTTAAGCGATAAAACCCATCTCATGACCCGCTTATCTGATGATAAAATAATATTATAGCGTATTATACAGTACGGCACACAAATTAAAAGATAATACTTAATTTGATCGAGTTATTCAATAACTGTTTACCCCTACGATACTGACTCGGCTGCAATTTAATTACGACGTAACGCATGAACTCACCCGCGGCTGTTCTGCTGAACAAGTCTTATTTTTACCTGGAAGTCTCTTTTTTGGTACATGGAAGAGCGATTTCATAACCTGGTAGTGTTTTATTATTACCCCTGAAACTTTATCGACTTTTGAGATCATTAGCCCCGTGGTATTTACTATTTAGGGTATGTGTGGGAACCTGTGTTACTTGTTCTAAGTTATGTGGGAATGTCAACATCTTATCGGCTATACTACCGCTCTACCAGTGGTATGCTCCACGGTTATTAGTAAAATGTTTCAAATTAATGTTTCACACCTGGGAGTATGCACGTGGTGATTCCAACGGACAAGTGAAACTTAACTTAAAGCATACTCAAGAAGTCACGTGGTGATCACGTGATAATACAAAGATTATTGAAAGAGTAGTCTGGAAGTCTGGATCGACCTAGGCAGGCAGTCTGGAAGTTCCTATTTTTACCTGAATTTCCTCAGAAAGTTGCATAATCACTGTAATTATCAGTGTAATTATGGAGGGCTAATTGAATGATACGAGCTCAATGAACCGCACCGGTTGATTTTGTTCTGGCCAGTTTTCTTAAATTCCGAGTTTTCGTCTAATTTGGTAATTATAGACGGATAAGATTATGAAGGAGCATGTTATCTTACACTAACAGTGATTAGTTTCATCCATCAGTACAAAACTAGCATATTACAAAACTGTATGCGTAGAACAAATCTGGAATAATGATAAACTAAAAGTTAAAATACTCTTAATTCTCAATCAAAGGTGAAGTAAGACCTTCAGCGCGATTACAATAATTTAGATAAAAATATTCGTACGCAAATAATTATGAGTTCATAATAAGTTAATAATTCTAGGTAAATAAGTACGAGTTCTTACACTTATTCTTTAATAATATTTGAGTTCTAACTTCTTCCAGGTTCCTGATAAGTTATCTCTCCCAGGTTCCTACAAGCGATGGCCCAGCTGCAGTCAATGCAGGGTCTCCAGTCTATGGGAGGGTTCCGGGCCCCAGTTACCACGACAACCTGCAGCGCGGGTGGATCACCCCTCGTTTCACCTCTCACTTCTACCCCATCTCTTACTGCCTCCCCCGTCACTCTTCCGTCACCGGTCAGTAACAATACTACTAGTATTTATATTTTAATGTTCTATGTGTTACGTTACACTAGGATTTATCTTTTGAAGGATTTTGTAATTTGTCAAACAGAAGGATTCATTTTTGAAAGAAAAATAAAAACACCAGAATTTGTGCAACGTATGAGCGTATATAAATATACTCTGCTTACAACACACATATCTATATCAAGACGACACACTTACAAAAACGACTACTTCGAATCAGTGACATTCACCAGTCACCCTTATTTTTACATTTGTATGTCCCTTATTGTCCCTTCATTACTTTTGTTTCCATATGTATGTCCCTTCATTCTTTCAAATCCTTTTTCGCACTGTTACCAGCCTCCTTCCAACATGATGGTTGTCCGAGTAAAGATTAGCGGCGAACGGCCTTCCACCTCAGAGGGCTCTCATATTTGACTGTACCTGCACCAAACCCACTAATTAATTGTGATTGCTATTGTTTAATCCAATAATACGACAAATATAAACCTAGACCAACCTCATCAACCAACCACACCGCCCCTCCTCCCCGTCTGACCAATCACAGAGCAGTAACTTGACCACGTGACCTCAATGTTGTTTTCAAATACTAAACCTCTCGCTGTTAATTAATCAGTCTACTTTAGACTTATTATGACCGAGCCTCCTCGAGCTGCTGCTACACAATTCCCCTGTAAAATTACTCATTTTGTTATTAAACACTTGGAGAGAAGTTGACTGTTTTTTTTAAAGTCTGGTTTTTATTTCCAAGAAAATATCTGATTTATACTTAATACACTCGGATTTTACTGAGAAAAAATCAGAAATTTTCATGTCATCAAATGAGATTGAATAACAAAACACACACCTTAATCAGATAAGTCTGACGTGATTTGTGACGGGTTATTTTATTGGACTTTATTGGAGTTTAAATACACTTGTTAGTCTTGGTAGATTTGGGAATTAATAATCATATCGGGGATCAGCTACAATGTGTACATGATTCAAGATAGATATGTGTTATACACGTGGAGGACTGATACAAGAGCTTTATTGGAAATGAAACTGTGAAAATCAGATCCCATGATCCTCAATATTTCGGGGTTGAGTAAGGAAGAATTCAGTCCTGTCCAGCCCAATATCTCGACAAAGAATTTCTCATGAGTCAGTGACAGTAGCGTCTAAGTGCAATAGTCAGTGAATTAATTCTCGACTAAAGACTGTAAACACGTCTAAAATTAAATGCCCCAAGTAGATCTGCCTAAACCCAAAACTTTCCCAAGGGTGTCTCCCAACTATTCTCAGTTTAACGTCTGCATACTGACAGTTAGTTCACAAAACAACCAATGATGTTGACGATCTGTCTCCTGATCACGTGACTCCGGACTCGTGATCTGTTCCCCAATTTTCCCATATTACCTGTGTCTCAACTTATCTGGACTCCTGATCACGTGATCTTACAACTCACTCTTCTTGTAACGTGTGCATAAGTTACTGGCCCAGCCGTGAAGCTACGCGACCTCTCAAATTAGCTGAGATCTGGGCTACATAATTTAAGCTAATTTGTAGAACCCCTAAATTTCAATTTTACAAAAGATTACAGTTTAGAGTTAAAGCCCCGGCGAGTTACTACATATTATATTGTGAACAAGCATCATTAAGTTAATAACTTATTAAGGATGCGGAGAGATCCGAGCCGAGCAGATCGGCGGCAGAGAAAACCTTGAAATCTGTATTATTATTATATTATGTTTGTGTGTGCTGGATTATTATAGAAGCCCGAGATTTTCCTGGCTAATTGAGTCGAACAAGACAACTGTGAGAACTCGAGAAATGTAACCAACAAAAAATGGACTAAAGTTTAATTATTGAACTTTTATATTATTTGACTAATTGTAACAATGATTACTTGAGTGATAACAAATTGAATTTTCAGGCCACAGAAATCAACGTGATTGACACGAACTCAGCGAAGTCCGTGGAAAGTCAGAAAAGCATTGAAATGCTACGAAACAAAGCAAAAGAGTACGCTTCCGCCAACGCGATGGGCGTAAAGTCTTGAGAAAATAACTTTGCAAAGGAGCAGGACTCTTATTATTGGAGTAGGCTTGTATCATTTAGTGGTGAGAGTTTTGAGAAGCTACAAGGTTAACGAAATTAAGATCATGTTGTCCAGCTGCGGTTCATGATATTTTATTCAGAGTAAAAGTTCAGCTTGGAAGGCTGGAGACCAATTCAAGTATATTTGAGTTTTTTTTGTTTTGTTAATAAGGATGGAACATGGTGAAGAGCTTCTTGTAAATTTCTTAGAAACACAGTTACCCCACTATTAGTTTAATAGATCTTGGAAGTGTTGGGGTTGGATGATGAAACTGTAGTTTTAGAGGATTGAAATCCGGGTATTGATGGTATGGGTTGTTGCAAACTTTTGATTTTCCAGTGACAGTACTTTTTTGACTAGCTAAATAATGTAGCTGACTGAATTTAAAAGACCAACAGACCGCTGTGAATATTTTACAAAAACATTAGTATAACACGTAGTAATCACTGATGTTTTGATTTCGGTTGGTAGGTTACATATGTATTATACTCCAGTACCGAGTATTGGTTTAGGGTTGAAAAGGTTAGTAACTTAGTTACCACAACTACATGGGTAGTTTCCAAGTAACTGGGTTAGTGACCTCCTAATTAAACTGGTTAGTTACTTAGTAACCCAGTTAAATATCTGGTTAGTTACTTAGTAACCCAGTTAAATATCTGGTTAGTTACTTAGTAACACAGTTAACTATCTGGTTAGTAACTTAGTAACCCAGTTAACTATCTAGTTAGTTACTTAGTAACCCAGTTAACTATCTGGTTAGTTACTTAGTAACCTTGCTACGTTTGCTGCAGTTCGCTGGTTCCGGACCAAGGCTATTTAGTTGCCGGTTTTAAAGTTTATTAGGTTGAATATTTCGTGTTGTTGAGATTACAAATCGGAGCTGTTGCTGAGGTCCTTATTCATTATTGACCATGTACCTTCCTTTAAAGTTCATGGCTTGATGGACCAATCTTTTTGCACTCCGAAGAAAACATCTCTTTATAATTTTGGCATGGAAGGAGCAGTGTATGAAATTTAACGGGTTAAACTAGTAGTGTAATTTGTGAGTAAGTTCTCAGCATTCGTACTGCATTTGTAAATAGAAAGTTTAGCAGTCTTGTATGTTTTTAAAAACTGCTTTATCCTTGGGTCAAGCGTTACAGAATTTGTTAAAATATCCGAAGTATTACTTTATCTGCAATTTGCGGTGCACATAATTTTTAGTCATGTGAAACTCCAAAAAACTTCAAAAAGTAGGTGTATGCTATTATAGTATACTATAGTATACTATGTTCTTATAGTAGCATAGAATGATATACTATAATACGACTAGTAAACTATAATATACTATAATATATACTATAGTATATGCTTATTTCCTAAAATGTTTGATCTTAAGTCTTTGGGTTATATCTGTTGATAATATACTTGTGTGGAAGCTAGTTTGTTCTTTTGGTTGTTTAGTTATCCTGATTTCTTAGATTAAATCGTTCATTTTTATGTTGCTTTTCGACGATATATTTATTGTAGTGATTTGATTATTTGTGATTCCATACCGATCAAATTAGTGTTTTACTTCAATAAAACCCGTGCCTTTTTTACATTACATCATGAAATTCGTAATATCGTTAGTCGTAATTTAACCATAAATTTCTCCCAAAAGTGTTATTTTGTACGGTAAAAACCATAACCTAACGGCTAATGGCTAACCCAATTCCTATCAAAATCATACGCTGAAACCCTATCGAGAAATTAAATTAACTTCCTTATATGGTCATATCACGTGATCGAGACAGTTTCAAGTTTTCGCCAATATTTTGCCAGGGGAGCATTTTTACCCTACTAATACTATGTCATGGGGTGTGATACGGAATCATCGTCCAAAAATATTTTGACATACGTTGCATGCCACTTTTCGCGCGCGCCGCCGAAGGCGGGATACGAAACATGTATCAAAAAATATTGGAGGACTTCGACGCGCCGCGCGAACTAGCATTTTTGCTTCGCATCGTCGATCGTTGCTCTGCTTCGCAGAGCAACGATCTCGATGGGTTGACATTTTCAATCAACCAAAAATACATTATTCAAGTTTGTTTCAACTGTCTGGGGTCCTTTTAGAAAAATCTCAAAGATCGAGTAGTGTTTGTCATACGTTGTATGACCCGCCGCGCATAGTGAAACGACCGTGGGGGTCGCAACGTGATACAAAGTAGTGTCTGTGTAGAGTGATCTAGTACGTTCGATCGAGATTGCAGCGATGCACTTGCACTATATATTGGGTCTCTACGAGCTGGGAAGCGCGTTGACATTATTAATTGCAATGAAAATGTGTAGTTCTAATTCTAGGTAGCTTTGACTGAAATCAAAACTAAAACTAATTAACAATTAAGCTTAACCCTGGCCCTTTATTTTGATGTCCCCATGCCCCAGGTCAGATTTTTTACACCCACCGAACATTACCAGCCATTTTAAATTTACGTTGATAACGTCTACACTTTACTCAAAGAACCTTATCGGCTGGCGGGCTTGCTAGAAGTATTTTTTCGCAGTAAGTTTGAGATGCACTTTACTTGTATTGACACAATTCAGCTTCACCTAACCATGTGCTTTCGCGCCACTGCGGGCGCGCTTGTTTCACAAGTCAAGAAAAGCACCTATCCACGAACCCCGATGGGAAGGTTCGTGCGCGCGCGCGCAGTGCTGACAACAGCGTCTATGTAGCGCATGTAGTCTTGGCACTTCTCCCTCCAGTAACCACTTTACAGGTCTTTCAGTTTGAGTTAAAACAGCTAATGCATAATTATTAGTTTTAGCTGCCAGAAATAAATTTTCGGTTTCTGTAGTGTATAGGGGTTAATTAGGTATAAACTACAGTATAGCTGTACTTACACCTACATTCACAAGCACAAAGCATGCAAGCTCACTTGGTCCAATGAGCTTTTTACCGCCGTGAGGCGGGCGCGCGCTACTGCAAGCGCAAGGGCTCTGGATAGAGCAACAATTCACCAATCAAAGGACAAGAATTAAATAACATGCAAAATTAAAGTTGCGAACTTTTATTTGGTCCAAAATATACCAAATACATAATACGACTTTTTGATATAACTCAAAATCTAAATTGTCCCAAATTGTGGATCAAATTCCTGTACTGGGAATGGGGAAGCTAACTGAATTTAGTTTTACGAAACGAACATTTTATAACGGGTGATACTCGTAAAATATTTGTTCCATATATTGGACCGTCGACGAGTCCAATTCGGCGCGCGTCTTGGTAAGTTGTAAACCTACAACGAACATTTTGCTGAAAACCGGAGGTCAATATTTATTTTACTTTCGGGAATATTTGACCATTGTTAATGGTCTGGCCCGGCGCGCGCTACTTCGTAGCACTTGCCATCGCCCATCGGGCACCGGGCTAGTCCAATCCATTAACAACGGACATTTGGACAAGTCCTGGTTCCAGGAAACCCTAGCGGTGCAGGTGAGGTATATTTCATATTCCTTTGACAGATGTTACTCGTCTAAATTTCTTCGAAGTAGCGCGCCGCGCGCGCCGCTTTCTTCTCGAAATATGGCAAGTGCTACGAAGTAGCGCGCGCCAGGCCATGGACCATTAACAATGGTCAACCAGTGTCAAACGTTGTATAACCCATAGTGAAACGACCGTGGGCGTCACGCGCACGACGTGGTACAACTTAGCCATTGGCCAGTAACAAAAGCCATGTACTTAAATATAGAATGGGAGCGAGTATTACAAACCCCGAGGGTCAGTTAACGAGTAATAAAAGTTTCCAAGGACCGTGAATCAGTAGAATAAGCATCAGTATTAGTGATTAGTCATTGGTCATGCAACTTGAACGTGAGTAATTTAAATTATAGAAAGTGTTTTATTTACATAGTAGATATAAATGATCAAAACTCAAAATTGGTTAGACAACTTTGCATGTAGTTAAAATGTAATTTTCAGCGTTGACAAGTTTAAAAAAATTCCGAATCTTATGGAAGTAAGAATTTCCAATGTGTCTTATCGAAAGTGAGTGAAAGAAACACTTGTGGCAATTTTATTTACTGATACTCTTATTTGTAAAGCTATCCTCGATACATATGCAGTTACAAAGTGAGATAACTGTTTCAACAGGGGTCGAATTCACAAAAATAACGTAAACCATTGATTTAAAGCTACCGCCGCTCCTGTCTCTTGATTGCTGATAATGATCAGGAACACATGACGTATCATCACGACGATTATTGGTCACTCGAAATCGACCCGTTAGGAATGCAATGTAGGTGTGATGGTTGTTTCTGCGTATTTGTTAGGTACCTGTTACTAATTAATCAACGGGATCATAATGTTGATTGTATCGATAAAACATGGATTTTAAGGCATAAAGAAGCATTGTTGAGTCCTGAAACCAAGTTTAATCGATTTCTCGTGCAATTTTAGGTCAGGAATGGTCATCAAAATAAATTTATAACAATGTCGATATTTTGGTAAATTTCTAGCTTTCTGCCAGAAAATAAATTTTCGGTTTCTATAGGGGTTAATTAGGTATAAACTACAGTACAGCTGTACTTACACCCACATTCACAAGCATGCAAGCTCACCTGGTCCAATGAGCGGGAAACGGAGAACAAGGTCTGGTGACGTCATAGTCACGTGACCTCAGGCTCATAATCACGTGACCTCAGACCCAATCAATTGGGTTCTGGCCTGGTCAGCCCCCTGTCACCCGATCTTGAGGTGACGTACGACACCTCGTTAACCCAATCAATGTCTGGAAGGCTGCAAATTTTCACATGCCACATCCCTAAGATTCTTAAAGAGTTGTACGAGATGACGATACATAGAGGCCGCAGAATTATGAGGACTACCAGATCCTGGTGGAACCTAAGCGATCCATGATATCACGACAGGCCCTAGGTGAAGTCCTCCATAATATATTTTTATCATAATTGCAGGATAAGTGTACATTTAAAAAAAGCACTTTATTTTTAAGAACCTGACGAATATCATTACTGGGCCGCGCTCAGCCTGTCATTCCGCCTAATCTCTATGTTGTTTACCAACATTAAAGCCTGGGGTCCTCAGGTAAGAATATCATTACACTTTGCACTTTAAATTTTAACCACCAATTTTTTTGTTTTTTGTTGCACTTGCAGTGGCGCGCGCTCACCTCTCGGCGGTAAAAAGTTGTAAAAAAACTTGTGAAACAAGCTCATCCGCAGTTGCGCAACAGCACATGGTTAGGTAAATATATTTAGTTCTGTTCCCAACATAATTGATAATGCCCTATTATATTTGTCAACACAGCCTTCGACATCATCATGTATGTTTATATCAAAATTATTTTCTCCAGAAATTGAGTCAGATTATAAATAATAATTATGATTTAAACCTTTATATTATAGTGGCACAACGACTTAAAATGCACAGGTGTGCCACAAAAACGCTTCAGGACACTATTTGTTGCTGAAAAACTTGGAGCTATGAAAATAACATTGGACAGCGACCTTCTAAATGTTATGGCTTGTAGTTTCGAAACTGTTATACTATTTTTTAAACTTGTTTAATCTGTAGCTATTACTATTTCTAGAATATCAATTTTTTTAAAGTTAAAAAAAAAAAGATTTCAATGTAAGAAAAAAGTGTCAAACAGTATATATACAATAAAGTAATTCAAGTGTTGCAATTGGCAGAGCACAATACAGAGGTAACGGAAATTGTCCACTGCTAGCAATATTATATAATATGAAATATCAACAATCAGATATATACACATCTACTCCATCATAGGGGGTATTAATGTTGCTATCAAAGCACACTTTCGAAATCGAACTGCTTGCTGCTGTGATGTGAATTCGTAGATTTTTATTTTCAGTTGACCAATTATATTATGTTTGGTTTCATCTTTTACCCCGGTTCTTTAAATTTGTACTATTTTTATAACTTTTAATCTGTTGTGTTGGTTTATTCATTTTCGAGGGTGCCTATCCTTACAGCTACACAATTACCATTGCTAAAATTATCTCTATATTATTCGAGAAACTTTTTACGTAATAACAGATGCAACAAAATGAACAATTGAGTCTCTCTGGGTTATTTTGGGGGTGTTTAATAGATCAAAAATTCACCCTTAAAAAGCCTTGGGAATGTGTAAAACACACCCTTCTAGCCACTCCTCACCAGTCACTTCTGTATCCTATGGCTGTTGATATTTTGTTAGGTCAACAGTACCTAGAACTCCCGAAGATGAGTAAATTCCATCCAACTATCTATATTACCATACTTGAGTGATTAATTTTCCCGTTGAAGCAGTCTATGTTTAATTTGAAACCTTAAAAATTTGAAATTATGTTATTTTTCATATCAATATTGTATCGTTTTGAAATGCTGTTCTGATACTTTTGAAACCTCATGAGAACTGTAACAGGTAATAGCATAATGCCTCAAGGACCTGTCAGAGCCACACATGAGTTTGGCTTGCTACGAAGAGCAAGTTCTTTAGAAGTCATACCATCTCAGACCCCAAATGTTTCTAAAGTAAGGCTTTTAATTTACGAGGTTAATTGTTAAATATCCTATCAGGTCAAGTCAACTTATGATGTAGTTGTAGTGTCAATCACATTGAGTTCTCTACATTTTGTTGCAACATGGTGTTGTAATTTTCTAGCTTGAAAATCTTATGAAAATCTTTATCCAGGAAATGAATATATAAATCACTAATATGTAATTTGATTGGAGCATGTCACATAATCAGTCTGATTATTATATGTACACAACTTTTCTATACTTTAATACATCATCACCCAAAGATTGACAAGAAGATAAAGAGACACAAAAGGAGCAGTAGTCTGGGAACCACTGAATTGAAAGAGGTAAGAAACCAAAAAACTAACTTTAGTCATACACCAATCTTAACCTTATCTTAACTGTCTTGTTAGGTTTGTTATCATCAAGCGTCTTGGAGTTGGAGCATCTTGATAGTTGAGCTCATATTATAATTACATCTACTTTTAATTACATATTTAACTAAAACGTCACTGTTATGTTAATGATGTTCAGAAGCTCAGACGAACCCTACAAAGAGAGAAGAAGCAAAGCCCCTCTCCTGTAAGTTTTAGACACTTTTTGTTTTAATTGGTTAATTCTTAATTAAATCACGATTCTCCAGCAAATTGAACACTTGTTATAGAAACGTAACCAGCACACAGAAATGTAGTCAGGTTTACTCCTTACAGAATTAAATTCTTACTTGCTTTATCTTTCACAGTGTAAACACTTCATTAATGAATTGTTAAGTTGACGATGAACTATGTAAAATTTGATTTTATTAAATTTTGCAGACATTACACGGAGGTCTTCACAACATCCGAGACGCGCTGTACAGGAACTCAGACCAGTGTTTTGTTAACCCTTCTATACCGGTGTTTGGGTTGACGCGCACTCGATCACTCGACTGCTTGTCTGAGCTGGAGAATCTAACCATCAACCATTCCCCTCTGGTGGGTTTAGTTGATAAATTAGTTCATTAAAATTGTTGTATTTATTATATTTTATAATATGGTTTCTTTTGGAGTGTCAATCGTGTCTTATATATGGCGGACAGAGGACCACAGCAATAGGAGACTTAATTGAGTGAAATTGGGTGAAGCTGATGAATTTAAACTGTCACTTAGTGGATTAGGCTGCTGTTACCACTTGAGATATAACAGTAAATTTTAATTTTGGAAGGCAATATTGTCACAACTAAATAGTTTTAATTGATATAAAATCATACACATTAAACTTTATCATCCCTATTAGACCCCACACGAGGGCCACAAAGCGCCTCTACCGCGCGGATCACGCAGCGACACACCAGTGCTTTGTTGTGGCGCTGGACGCTGCACCAGCTCCCAGACTCCAGAGGACACTGTTTCTCCTCCCTCCTCCTCTCCTAATTATTATACAGATGCCAGGTGATAATAAATAATAAATAAATAAAGTCTAATTTTATTCAGCAATTTATCGGTAAATATTTGAGTCAGCTATGCTGTAAAGGATGCAGCGTTTTATTTCTACATTAAGCAATAACTTAAATGTTTATATTCTTATTGCTTACGTGCCCCAGTGCAAATATTTAAAAGAGTATTGACTTTTTAGATTTGAAAGGATTGTCAATTTTGGAACTGTGTATAATTTTAATTGATATTAGTCAAACAATCAACTTTCCCTCGATCTTAATTATTAAACCTGAATTGCCCTCCAATTATTACTAATTTATTTCTCAACTATCAACATCTCCTCAGATCGCCCTCAATGGATTCCCCCGATAAGATAATAGGCTCATCACCTCGTGTTAATTGCTCATTCCTTTTCGCGCGCCAACCCCCACCCAATGCTGACAAAGCCAGATGCATCAAGTAAGTTTGATATTTAGTTAGTAAATTAATAAATATAATGTAAATTATAGATGCATTTAATTGATTTATTAATAAATAGTATGCAAATAGATGTATTTAGTCAGTGAATGGGCACCATATAATGTATAACTTCCGAATGCGATTTTTAAATCGCAACACAATACGTCTGATCACCAGGAAACTCCTTCCTGAGAAATGTACTTATTTTGCAAATATTGGTACGCTGAACACGACCTTTGAAATGAAATAATTATTTTAATTTCATGTACCCGTTCAATAGATCACCTGTGCAAAACATGGATAATTACGATCGCGAAAAATATTGGCCGGATTCCAAGTGTCTCTCCAAGTTATGTGCTGAGGAATCCCAATTATTTTTGGCAATTGGCATCCAGCTCGGTTTAAATCAGTCTATGAAATATTGAGATAGATACTTAGTCTATAGAAGATGTTCATGGTCCAGTCCTATAGCCATGAGTAATACTAATGAGTATAACATACATGAACGACTCCTTAAGACGCTCCTTAAACCACTCCTTTAACCACTCCTTAAACCAGTCTTTAAAACACTAGAAGAGATTGATACAATATATTGGACCCCTTACAGTCTTTACATTTACAAGGTTTTGAGTTAGTACGGATATGGTGAGAGTTAGGGCTAGGGATAGAGTTATAAATCAAGAGGCTTACATATAATGAACATATTATGTAAGGTTATGGTGTAAGGTTACCTTTCAAATCAGATGAAGAGGTGGAACGTTCCGGGTTGTAAGCTACACATCCAACTTAAATGATTTGTATAAATGTTGTATCTTGCTTACTAAGATTAGAACGGTTACATTTTTATGGTTTATTGGTTCCACAATCAAAACCTTCACAAATTTTCTGTCACAGTTGATAACATATGCATAGCTGCGAATATTTTGAATTTAGAGACCAAACTCGAAAGTCAAAAGTAAAAGTAAAGTACAAGCTCATTCAAATTCCTGTGAATGATCTCACTGTGTTATCTACCACCCTGCTTATTGCACAATCTCTCTGGCAACCTTGTGCGTTGTTAGGGATCGTTCACATTTACATACATTATCAGGGATATGCTGTTAGGGATATATTGTTAGGGACCGTCCACATATTATTATTACCTCATCATCTTACAGAGGCTAATAAAAATTCTGAAGCTAGTGAAATCTGAGGGTTATGTGAAACGTGGCCAACAGAGGGGGATGGAGGGCCGAATTCCGCGGGGGCAATGTGTCTAAACAATTCCTCATTGTACCCGGCCCACTCCTCACAAGTTTAACTCGTATCACTTGTACATGTTACATAATGATATTGTAACATACCATTGCAATCTGGTTGTAGTACACACAAATGTACACTGTTCAGTGTTCACTGTATCTATCCGTACTAGCAGGGTGGGCCAGAATTAAATGATACAAGCTGTGTGAAGTGAGTACAGTTTCAGAGATATTTATCAGTTATTATCGCTCACACGATAGTTAATACCAGACACGTGTGTTTAGTTAATATTATACTGACACGTCAAGGTGCTCATGGTCCATATTATCACTCTAACTGAAATAGATATACAGTCTACACAGTACACTGTACACTTTACACTTAACTGTACAATATTGTAATGAGTAAACTGTACTGATCTGTACTGTAAAGCTGTAATGTACACTTCACTGTACTTACTACACTGAAATAAATAATAACAAGGCCTCGGGACAGCAAGGTGAACCTTCATAGTATATTCTCATTTTATATATATAATATATATAATTATAATCTATATCGTATTTCATTGTTAATAACATGAAGACGATGTGAATATAAGTGAACACACCAGCGTTTCTTCAGAAACAATACAGATTAGACCATTACAAACCAGAGTCTAGGCAGGGGGACTTGCCAAATTTCATTTTACCCTGCCACTTAGCGTTCTCTTGGTACCACAATGTTGGCAGGGAACTAATATCCAGGACGAAATCTTGGAACCCAGCCAAAATAAAGGAGCCATTTTGGGTGGTGTTTCTTCCGGCTTTATGTCGAGTGTAGCCAATGTTATGATATAACATATAGCCTCTAATGTTGTAGGGGCTTGGTTGTTGAATTTAATAACTTGACTTTATAAATAACTGAATTTAATAACTTGACTTTATAAATAACTGAATTTAATAACTTGACTTTATAAATAACTGAATTTAATAACTTGACTTTATAAATAACTGAGGTAACGGTTTTAAAAATTCGTCTTTCTAGAAGGGGTTGTTAAATTTAATAACAACCTTATATAAATAGCTTCTAGGCGACGAATTTAACAAATTCTTGAAGTTCGTCATGCACCATAATAATACTCCCTCTAATTGTGAGCTCTTTTATCAAATTACGACTGTTTTGGGTTCCCACAATCGTGATGAGAAACTATTTGTGTTATTTATTTGGGAATGAGACGCAATTTTTCGTGCGATGCATCCTGAGTTTCGGTTGAATAAATAGGAGATCTTTACCTACGAGGAGTTCCAATTTAGATACATACATTTCCTAAAATACACCCAAACGATGAGCTGAATTCCAATGAAAACACTGGTTTAACATTAGAGGTACAGTAGCTACAGTAACTACTAGCAGTTTCACTGAACAACATCAGTCTTACAGTCCGTGTAAGATGATGTATGTGTACACTGTCAATACCACGTGTCAATACCACGTGTACACGTCAATACCACGTGCAAGATGAGGAATGTACGTGTAGAACGAATTTTCCACGAGCCGTTATTTCATAAGGAATTCTCCTGTCATGTGTGATGAGGACCGTATTTCATGAGAGGAACATATGTTACGTGAGTAATGCAAGTGAAAGGTGGCTCATCTCAACAAACGACTTGTTGAAATACGCGGAAATTTGTTTCGCTGGCTTGTGTAATCGTATGAGGTTGCATCATGAGTGTTACAGTTGGATCTTAACAACAAAATAATGGGCGAATAAATCGTTTTTTGATCACTAATCATGATAATGACAATAATAAAGACTTGTAAAGAATGTGACCCTACATAGTATGTGAAATAAATGACAAATGTCATGTAAAATATACCAGACTTGTTCTCAGCAGAGAGGTTGCGTTTCACTAAGCAACCAGCGAGAAGATGGAATTATTTGAACCAACATCAAATTACAAGTCCGGCGTATAGAAAATTACCAAATACCAACCCTGTTCCTGTAGCAACGGTGCAATATAGCTACCCTAAAACATTTCCCTGTACCAAATATTTCTCTGTAAAATATTTCTCTCGCCTCTAAATATATAAAATTTGGCTGCTCCACACACACTACAATGCATGATTCTTGTTATGAACCTATGAGGAGGCCTACTCCGCAAGACAAATCATGATCTCTTAGACTTAGAGGTATGTCATTATATTGCAGGAATGGGACGTATCTCCGCTGATCTCTACTGAGAGCACACTTTCAAAGAATTAATTCTTAGAATTCTTCAAGAATTATTGGCATTCTTCCAGAATTCTTGGCAATCCGCCAGATTCCAAGAATTATTGGCATTCTTCCAGAATTCTTGGCAATCCGCCAGATTCCAGGATGGTGACTTTCTAATGCGTGGTAACAGACGCACTACGGCACTAGTATTATGTCACATGAAAAACGTATACTATGTGTACGTTTAATGCTCGATTCTTCCTAACAAGCGTGCATGTTGGGAGATGAATGTGTTTTTGTCACGTGATAGTGCACGTGGGCGTAATGTTACACGTGGGCGTGACGATTTTGTCACGTGGTATTCTCAAGAAAATACCTGATTGTTTCTGATGAGATGATGATGGGAAGTACATGTAACCACATCACTTTCATAGTCTGAAACTTAATAAATGTAATAGATTGATAGAACATGATGTGTTTTGATCACGTGTTTGTGACGTTTTTGTCACGTGGGGGGCTGGTCATATACTCCAGCAAGCTGTGGTTACGTCAAGCTTTGTGGTTGGAACGCGACCAACTGTGTGTGTTTTGCGTGTCTCTGTGGTGTGTTCTGTACGTGGATAGGATCGTTAAACGAACATGACTTTTATTTTTGGGAAAAGATAAGCAAAATTACATGTGACAGTAAACAGTAAAATTCCAACAAGAGTTTTTGGTTTTTACTGAAATGTTCTGTAACATTTGGTTCAATCATGACGCAATTCAGCGAAGATATCATGAACTATGAACAACGAAAGTGTTTATTAAGTGTTTATATAAAATGTTTATTAACATCTGAACTAAGCTACGTTCAACCAAATGTTTCGGCTGGTTGTTTTGGTAATGTCTATTCCATAAACAGTAAGAAGGTGAGTATAAACAAAAGACTTGTAGTATGTGACTATAAATCAATGAATTATTGAGCGATGTGGACCTTTTATTATAATTTATTGCAGGAATGCAAATGTGTAATTACATTTATTATAATTTAATTATAAATCGATTATAATAGCTCTTTCTTGTATGGCCCTTCGAGTATATTTTTATATTTATCTTTTATATTTGAGATACTGTACTTATTATTATATTCATCAATTAACCTTTTGTGAAACAAAGATATGTTTAGTTAGAGGTAAACACAGCTAATAGATTTACTTGTTCACATTGTTAGTAAATGATAAGTCTATTGTTATTATATATATAAAGAATATACTAAGAATGATTTCATGTGATCCGAACAACTCGAATTCCTATAATTTATCCTGAAAGTGACTAATTGAATAATTATGGCTCGTTTAATAACCTGTATGGGTGTGATCATCCTAAATCATCTAGATCACTTATCTGATTATATCGTGTTTGGCATTATCTCAAAAACGATAATTAAGTTGGGAACCTAGAGATACGTGGAGTGCTGATAATTTACAAATAAGTGATATGAGACTATAATATCACTGTCTATACTGTATAATGTCCAGCTTAATTTATCATTGATTGCAAGTAGAGGGATAAAAGCTGATCCAAGCTAACCACCACGATCAATCTTGCTCTACATCTAAAAAGTTAAAACTTTCAAGTCTATCTGAGTTTTTGTTTCCCACTACAAAAATTATCTTATATGCCTTAAAAAAGGTCATGTTTTAAAAAAGGTCCTCTTTGTCACAAACACTTGCTCCGAGTAAGACTTGCAGACTTGCGTGTAACACGTAATGTGTGTTTCTGGAGGGTTATTATAAATGTGAGCTGCTACCGTGAGACCGCCTGTGAGTTGACTCTAACCTGAGTGTTATTAGTTAACATTGTGCTGTTGACTGTACGTTAACGGTGTGTGAGTCCCATAAGTAGCCTTATACTTTGTGTTAACTGTGTGTTAACTGTGTGTTAACTGTGTGTTAACTGTGTGTTAACTGTGTGTTACCTGTATATTAACAGTATGTTAACAGTACGTTAACAGTTTGTTAACTGTACGACAAGTAACCTTATACTTTGTGTTAACCTTGTGTTTATAATGTCCGTCGACACAGCACCAAACTGCAACTTTATAATACAGTCAATATACACGACCATTATCTAGTCAATTTACGGCGATATTACATGTCCACAAAAAACGGTCGGTTTACATAATGTCCCAGCTCATGCTTTGCCACAACCACAGAGCACTGTATATAATATAAATAATTAACAAAATGATATATACGTAAAGCAGGTCTATTAATAGTTAATACCTAAAAGCGTAAACCACCTATTAATAATATTACCTGATAAGACAAATTTAATTGTTATATTTGACCACTCATACAATCATTGAAAATTTAATTCATTAAATAATATTATTAATAGATTTAATCGCAAAACTGTAACATATCTTGTGACTTATCTTGCTCGTCAACCTTAGAGAACCCTCAATTATTGCTGCCCTTATCTCAGATTTACCCAATTGTAGTTGTATCCATAATTAGTACCTCAGAAGTATTAATATTAATAAGGGGTCGTTCACATATTACGTAATCTGCTGAGGGGGGAAGGGGGTTTCCAAGCGATTACGCTAGTGTAATTTTGACAATATAGCTATGTGTAAAACTGATTACGGAGGTAAAAATTGTTCAAAAAGTGATTACGTATAATAATTAATATGTGAACGACCTTTAATAATAATCGCGATATCTTAAAATAGTACTCTCCTCAGCTCAAATCAACTTATAAAAGTATTTTAACATAATATAATGTATAATGTTAACTCAGACCAGAGAAAGAAAGATTGCTATAAGGAAATACTTTGTTTGAATTTGCTAATATTGTGGCTAAATCTAAATACCCTCTGCACGTGTACCTTGGTTACTGAGCACACGATTTCCTTGGAATAGTTGGAATAGTTTGATGTTGGACCGTTTAATCAAGTCTCCTGCTGTCCCAATTTTCTGTGGAATTCATATTTTATTTCCTATATGAAGAACCTTGGTATATAGCTAAACGTCTCCTTAATCGTTGAAATAAGTAAACGAACTTTCCCTATAAATATAATCGACAGTTAATCTTCTGTGTTATAAACTTAATGATTGATCATTTAAAACTAATTATTAATTAACTAATTTAACTTATTATTGTAGGGGATCCAGTTTAGAATCCTTAGAACGCAGTGGACCAGACAAGAGCAAGATAAAGATAATATTCAGTAACAACAGTGTGTTTAATCGACCGCCTCCCCCTAGATGTGTCACTAGACACTCCCCCGCAGAACAGGTGGGTTGTCGTGGTAACGAGTGTAGTTGTCATGGTAACGAGTGTAGTTGTCGTGGTAACCAGTGTAGTTGTCATGGTAACGAGTGTAGTTGTCATGGTAACGAGTGTAGTTGTCATGGTAACGTGTGTTATAGTTGTCATGGTAACCAGTGTAGTTGCCATGGTAACCAGTGTAGTTGTCATGGTAACCAGTGTAGTTGTCCTGGTAACCAGTGTAGTTGTCATGGTAACCAGTGCAGTTGCCATGGTAACCAGTGTAGTTGTCATGGTAACCAGTGTAGTTGTCATGGTAACGAGTGTAGTTGTCATGGTAACCAGTGTAGTTGTCCTGGTAACCAGTGTAGTTGTCCTGGTAACCAGTGTAGTTGTCATGGTAACCAGTGTAGTTGCCATGGTAATCAGTGCAGTGTAGTTGTCATGGTAACGAGTGTAGTTGTCATGGTAACCAGTGTAGCTGTCATGGTAATCAGTGCAGTTGTCATGGTAACCAGTGTAGTTGCCATGGTAATCAGTGTAGTTAGCATGGTAACCAGTGTAGTTGGCATGGTAACCAGTGCAGTGTAGTTGTCATAGTAACCAGTGTAGTTGTCATGGTAACCAGTGTAGTTGCCATGGTAATCAGTGCAGTGTAGTTGTCGTGGTAACCAGTGTAGTTGTCATGGTAACCAGTGTAGTTGCCATGGTAATCAGTGCAGTGTAGTTGTCATGGTAACCAGTGTAATTGTTATAAAGAATGTCTTGAATTATTCCCGCTGACCCCAAATTAGTACAGTTACCGAGTTTCCTCACAGCTTACATTTTACATAAAGCTGTTTACATGTTACACTGTTACAGGTCCATTCTATGGGTATATCATCTGTTCAATATAATAACTGTATAATAAGTGTACAGTTTTACAGTAAGTCTTTGAAGTTCCGTTTTAGCGGATCATCAATGATCTAGCACATGAATTGTCAAGACTAAGGGTAGAGTGTGTAGAGTGTAGAGTGTAGACTGTAGAGTGTGTAAAGTGTAGACTGTAGAGAGTGTAGAGAGTGTTGTACAGAGTCTGTTTATAATAGCTGTGTCTTGTGTGAAATATGTATACACTATGCACTGTGCAGTGTGTACTGAATAGTAATTGTATAGTGTATACTTGCTGTGTAGTACATAGTATGCTTTATGTATACTCTATAGACTATACTGTATAGTTGCTGTATACAAGCTGCTGTATAACAATCTCAGTGATATGTGATGTTCCTACGAGCCGTGTGGTAATCGTTTCCGTGATCTTTACACACAAGTTTCAATGAGCCACCGTTCACTTTCTGGTGTTTAATGTTTTATATCAATCTGTATATATCTAATATTTAGATACCACTTGATCACATTTTGGCGGCCGCAATTTTATCATTCAAACAATTTTCTCGAGAAATTAAAGTGACCTCTTTTTGATTAAGTTAATTAACTAAATTAATTAACTTTGATTTCGAGTCTGTTTTTTTTACACATTTTATTTCCAATTTCAGGCTTGTCAATAGATGCAGACAGACAGAAAATGAGAAATTCCTGAAATTCCTGAGATTGTTATTTTCAGAACAGTTCGAACCATGTCGATATATTCAACGGAAATTCTCACGATATATATTCAAAACTGAATGTTTATTAACTATTCGAGTAGAAATTTAGTTTTAAGAAATTTAGAAAAAAGTTAGGTAGAGTGCAATTAACTGATTGGTTAGTTGAATAATTAATTAATTAGTTAGATAAATAATTAATTTAATGGTAGGTTCAGAATAGGAACTGTAATCGTAAACTTGTAACTAATTTTTTGAAGTTCACGAGTGTAAATATATTCGTTAAAGTTTGTAATTAGGTGTATTGATATTACTTAATAATATTGATATTACTTAATAATATTGATATTAATTAATAGTGATCACTGAAATGACTCTAGTTTTTGTGAGGAAAATCAAAATGATTTACAATGTTTGGTTTGGAAAAAGCTGAAATGTGCTAATAAAAACTTGAATTTTGTTTAAAATACGGGTATATCCTTTTAAAATTAACTTGATCTATTTAATTGTGTTAATCAGAAGGGCCAATCACACATTACGTCAGCAATATTGGACTATTTTTAGACCTGCCAGAAATTTCAACCCTGGCTACAGTGTAAAATTACGTCGTCAAATTTTCTCTCCTCCCTCCCCTTCCCTTATCCCTCCATCCTCCTCTTCTTTCCACCCCTCTTCCACTCCTCATTCTCTCTAGGAATCTGACGTAATATGTGAAGTGTGAACTTTCTCTATTTTAACTTTGTATTAACAGAAGTTTGTACTCTTATATTTTATGAGAGCAGTCATTCATATGATCAACTTATACAAATGAAGTTGAACGAGTTGGTTTAAATCGTAAAGATTACCACAATATTTGCCCACATATTTTCATCCTCCGATTTCAGCATGATGCTGATTTGAACTACAATTATATTAAGTTACACTGTAAATACAAATTCTCGAATATTACATAGCTAATAAATTTCCTAGGACGCTGAATTACATATAATGGTCTAGGATTAGAAACATGTCCGTATTTTTAGTGAAATAATACCTGATATCTGTCATGAAACAGGGATTTTTCTGCAGTTTAATCGAGATTGCCCCAACTTAATTGATATTAGTATGTAGAATTAAGGGGACTTGTTTTAACATGTTTGATTTGTACACCACATTATTTTGTTCATCATCACAATGTATAAAGTGTACATAGTACACTTGCATTTACGATGTCTGTTAGATATGGGTATCGAAGGATTAATTGAAATATATATAATTTACTACTATGTAACACAATTGGTAAGTTTTGCCTAATTCAGATTTGAGATTTGCAAAACAATAACGATGTTTTTTACTAGTGTCAGTGCGATTTATACTCGGCTTGTGCCAAGCAACCAATTTCCCTTACAATGCTAGCCTGAACATTCTTCAGAAATGGGTTCAGAATAGGTTCTACATGTGCGCGGAGTAATTCTATAGTGCGCGTTATGAAGACGTACGTGTTCAGTCTAGATCAGGTAAAAAGGTAGCAGTTCAGTACTATACCGTCTCTTACTCAAATTTCAACTCCTCCCTGCTCAAAGGGACTGGCGTGGCTAGCAGCTAGAGCAACTTGAAAGACAATCTGCCTGCGTGGTCACAACGTTGTGTGGCTGGATTCCTTCGTCAATATTCGAAAGCATTATAATGCCCCTCCCCCGCAGAGATAGGTACAAATATTAACACGAGTCTGGAACAAACCGCAAATATGTTCGTCAATCTTACAGATATGGAAACTGGTGATTGTTATGACACGTACGTGACAGCTGTCCCGGATTGTGGTTGGTCGCTGTCGTGTCGGTGGACAAAAATGGTTGAAAAATAAAACAACTTCTTAAAATTGTATAAACATAGCAAATAAAGTCCAGACTTAATACATCTATACAGAATATCAGAATACAAATAATACGTCAAACCCAAGTTTATAGTTATAGTAATTAAATAAACCTCTTTATATGTTCCTCTTATTTGAATTGATTCAGTCGGGCTATCTCAGCTGCCCGTTGATGAATACAAAAAGTAGCAGGCCTTTTGAGTTTTGAGAGAATTGTCAGGATAATTATCAAGAGAAATCCCTAAAGTTGACCAGCTTCATACATCAGTAAAGAGAAAATAAACAATCTCGTTAGACTTTGTTAAGTGATTCAAACTTCAGGCTTATCACTCATTGGCTTTAGATAATAATGAGCGACATTTGCGAGAGTCAACAAGGCGAATATGCCATTGAAAACAACTGATGTTATGGACTCCATGGTGGTCCCGTAAGTAAGGATTAGGAGGATGAATGAGGATACGATCAGTCTTTTGTTGGTTAGTAAGCCGTGTACACAGATAAATACCTGGAAAAAGGGGAGGTTTTGTTAACTTTGTACGTGTCATGTATATAAATACTAAAAACAGTGTTAAGTTAGATTGAGCTAGATGGTTGAACTAAAAGTATGAACTGGCTAATTCTAGGATTGATATAAATTGTACCAAGATTAAATGAAAAGGAACTATACCAGGTAGAAGGAGGTTACAGTTGATAGAAAGTTAGATATCACCGTAATAGGACCCTGAAACGATGAGACATATTAATGAAACATCAAACTATCGAGGAGATATCAATATCATGTGTTTTTTAAAAGTCAAACCAAACGCGAGCGAGAACATTAATTGAGTCTTTGTTGAATCCGTACGCGCAAATTGCACGTGCCAACTGCCATCAACCATGACAACGTGCACGCATACGGTCAGTGCTTCTTACTTCATCTCTCTTACGCGAAGATAATAAACACTATTTCAATGGAACCAAGTTCAATCTTGATCCTTATTGCCATCGTTCTCCTCGGCGGTGCCATAATGGGAGGGGGAACTATGGTTTTCTGCTGCCACGGATTTGAGAGAGGTCTCCCTTTCCTCTCCGTTCGTGAACTTTACGATGAACTCGGTGATTTAGACCGACGAACCACGGACCGATACAGGGACTTCGCCGTTCTAATCAACCACGTAGCCGGGCAGCTACAAAAAGGAGCTGCCAACATCCCCAGACAGCATCTGGTCAAAGAAACGTCCACTGTTACGGAACTGGAATACCAAATACGGAACAGCTACAGTGGGGTGTCAGAGTATCCCAACTCGACAAATATTGGTCGGACCAGCTCAAGGTGACTTTGTCATCTCGATGCCTGATGAGTGAAGTGTGATCTCATCTACGACTTCAACCAAAACCACGACATTTTACCTACCACTTCACGGATTTTAACGACCTCATTTTACTATTTTAAAAGGCCCAAGCAACACGTCGTGCTTGCGGTCTCAGTGGGGGGAGCAAGATAGTTTTGGACTATCTGCTCTTCGTGCCAGCCTTACAGTTCTGTTAAAACCTGATATATCACAAGTGAAACAGAACTGTGGGGTCCCACTGCTGCGGATCTTACCCGGCTGATGATCCTGGAGTGCGGTCAACTCCAACCTAACTGTTAAATTCTCCGAAGCTCGGCAATAAATAATGAACATTGCTTCTTAGCTGCTTGGCCGACCCCACCGAGCGCAGCGCGGCTTTAGTTCATAGCGCGCGCGCAATATATATTATAGTTAATTGAAGACAGAGCGCTATGTATATATCAAATTTGTATTCACGCGTTCCAGCAAACTTTAAAGAAGACCGTCCCGAGACTCTTTCAAATAAGACGCGCGAATGTTCCAGAACAGCCTCAAAAGAAAAAGAAACATTTTAAAATTGTGGACTTTTTAAACCTTAATAACAACGCCTTCTATTTCAAACCTTATTTTAATTAAGTCTCAGAGGGTACACTAAAGACTTCTATGTAACCCCTACGGTTGACTCAGCCGAATGATCGGAAAATCCGGGATTGAGGGTTAAATGAGATGGGGCCTGCGCCCTGCGGCAGGCAGATTCTAGATTGTTTGGCATGCCGCCTGCCAAAAGATCTAAAATATTCCAAGGGTACCCTGCTGTACTAATCTTTAGAGAACCCCCTGAGAAAAAAAGCAAAATTCTTAAACACGTAACTCACCCCAACTTTTATAGCGATGATAGTTTTGAAGAAAGCAATCAGGGTTAGCGGGACTAATAAACAGATTTCCTTCCACTCCAGCATAATCTTTCCTGATAAGTTTGTACGTTATGGCATGAGGGGGGGGGGGGGGGGAGGGGTTGGCATGGCATGGTTACCAAGTCATTTTGATCAACAATCGTTTACAAACTCTTCACTGTATTCGCTTTAAATTGATAATCGGCTATAAAATACGAAGTGTCCAAATTATTGATTACATGTATATCATAACTTGACCTACTTTTCTTCTTGAGGACTCTATTAGAAAACCCAAACGGTTGTCCCTTGATCTTCTCCAAAACAGTACAAATGTTTTGACGTGGAGGAAGTTCACCGTTTGTTATACACCCTTGAGAATCAAACTCATTTAGGAGGGCTCGTCTTAGTAGATCACCTGAAAAAGTCGATCAATCAGCTCTTAACAACTCATTTATACTCTGGGTAAACCATGCTGTGTTATTTCAGGACACTGAATACGGATATGAATTTCTTTGCACAATGCACATAATATTATTAAAATATTGATAGATTAAGGTTATCTTGGGAAGGTGGTCACACCTCACTACGATTTTCAAACACTGTTAACTGGTGGGTTTAGTGATAATTAGTGATTAAGTTGTTCAGGCTTGAAGTACTCGTTACCAGTCCTTACCTATTATCCAAGTACATTTCTGGATGACTAGAGTAAATACTGCTGAGCAGTGAGTATCAACTTAATAACACCAGAATGTGTGTGTGTCTGTGTGTCTGTGTGTAATTTCCGAACGATTATACAAAAAAACGGTAATAGTTACGGGACTGGTTTTTTCGGTATAGTGCTGACAAAACTCTGACGAAGCCCATAAGCAAATTTTATAAAAATCGGCCGGTGGTAAGTGGTTTAATTGATAATTTTGTTCCAGAAATGTGACATAAATGGATGGGAGAGAGAACGAGGAGGATAACATGTACCGTAATTAGTTTAGCCCCACGTAATACTATAAGCTTAGAGCTCACTCTTGCGGCCGCTTTGTTTCAACTGTAGGGAGATTTCATACTTTCATAAGACAGCGTTATGCGTGATATCAAATATATAATGCGGTTGTATACTTTTACATTGCAACTGTGACAGTAAAGTTCCGGCCGAAGGCACGGGTTACACTAACTAGTATCTTAATAATGGCATTATTAAACTTATTATTATTATCATGTTTCTTATCTAAAAACCCTATTCAACTTAAAACTTACTTCCGCTGGATAGCAATGTGGCTGCACGCCGTATCTTGTCCTCGCCCATAGCCTCCACGAACATCTCCTCTATCTCAACTATTCGAGTAAAGGCCTCCATTCCAGAGTATCCGAATTCTGTTATCAGGAGGACGCTTACTATTTGTCCTTTCTGAAAACTGGGACAAAGTCAGTCTTGATTTGAAGGAACATTATTTTATACGAAACGAAAACGAAAATAAACACAGTATTTTTCTACCCCGCTACTATGCGAGCGTGACAGAGATATTGTATGATCTCTATTATAATTCAGAGAATTATCTTTGTCGTCTGTACGACCGCCCAAGTGCAAATAGATGAGAAATATGAAGTTGCAAAGTAACCATAGTAACGAGGATTGTTACACGCACGTGCAATGATTGTTTTAACGTCATTTTAATCGGTTTTGTTGATATTACGCTGTGTTCAGTGCGAGCAACATTTTGATTGGCTGTATCTTTGGTGGGGATGAATACTTTTTGACACGATTAAAACTGACTTCTAAAGAATACTATTAGGTTCCTCCCTGTGACCACGGGTTTTCTAGTATTATATAAATAAACAATTTACACAATACGGTGCCCATGTCTGAGCGGCTCTCCTCAAAATAAGTGATAACATGATCAGATTTATGGGTGAAACAAAATAACTATAATTAGATTTTGGGGAAAGGAAACATCCGCGTTAAATCGGGTTTCGCGGTTTATCGGGGTTTTGTTTGTTTACATTTATACATGTTAAGCCCTATTTGGGGGAAAGGAGATGACCGCAGTATATCGGGGTTTGCGGTAAATTGGGGCGCGGTAAATTGGGGCGCCGTAAATCGGGGCTTTACTGTACAATGTAGATTGTCGGCTCTATTTTTCACTCGTCAATAACGTCATATTGTGAAAATTGTTACTGTTGATATACAAAAATTTCACAGTAGAGGCAGCTTTTAAAGACAGTATGATTGTTAAACTAAATTAATTGGTATTTAATAAGTTTTCCGGATACTGGTCAGGAAGTGAACCATGTGTGTTTTGACACGTGACAGTGATACTGGGTTTCATTGGTCAACGCCGCGCTGGAAGCTGACTGGTTAATCACTGTCACGTGTCAGAAATAATGGTAGTAGCCAGATCTACAGAGGGCCCCCAATGGGTGGTCCTTAAACCGTTCATTAAAACTAGATCGATCGCTTGAATAAGTTCATTTGGCATGCACTACTACCAAAAACTTTGTCATAGTCATGCTTGAAAAACTACTGTGTGACTGATAGTGACCTATATAATTCTGGATAACAAAAACTGACAGGCACCCTCAATACCACCATTATTAGACCGTCAAAAGTTATCCCTGTCAAAAACCTTCCAATCAGCGGCTCCAGCTAACAATTACCCACGGTCACGTGACTAACTCAAAGTCACGTGACTAAATTAAACCACCACACGTGGTTTCCATTCGGCCACGTGACCCGATAAAGTCAATATAACGCCTCTTCCAATAATCCCTCCGCTGATATTCCAAATTATGTTGTACGTTTTCGTCGTGAAGTTGAGAGTACTATTCGCTCTGACTGTTTTGAAGCTGTTTGCTAAAGTTGAGGCTATTTCCAAGATCATGACAACTTCCGTTTCCGATTTCACGGAAAAGTTGGATATCCGGACCATTCTCCTCGTGATTTACACGATCTTTATCTTCTTTCTTCTATTTCTAGGGTACTTCAGGTTTGTTTATATTTACCTTTAAAAACTACAGTATTATAGATAGTAAGAGGTCACGAACTTTAAGTTTTAAAATTCTAAATGAATTTTAGATTCTTTTCGTCTGTAATTTGCAAATTATTATTATTATTTCAGGTTTTTAAAATTTTTACAGCTTTTCACACCATGATTTTATCAACAAAAAGTCAACTAACCGCCTCCCTAATTAAGTGTATAATAATCCGACACCCTCCACAGATTCAAGAGTGTCAGCATGGCTTGTTGCACGCCGGGAGGGGCCGGTACAGCGGACCGTGTCAACAACGAAAACCTTCTCATTGGTATAGCTGAGAAACAGTACAGCGCAGTGGAGGCACAGAAGAATGAGCTCATGGGAAAAAGTCAAGCTCAATACAGTTGAGCTGTTAATAAATATTATAAACAGTTAATACAGTTGAGCTGATCATAGATATGAACTTATAAACAGTTAATACAGTTGAGCTGTTAATAAATTTGAACTTATAAACATTTACAAAGTTTTAACAGTTACACCATTGAAAAATTGTAATTTAGAACTAGATTTATTTCGAACACTAGAATGTGTTTAGAATGTTTGTTTTTTAAAGTTTTTTCTCACCCAAAGTTTTAGCTGGATATAATGTTGATCATGTGACCTGATCACGTGTACTTGAATGTTAATTATTTCATGTAATTTTAAACAATTCAGTAAAATAATAAAACAATTGTTTAGTTAAAAATTTATTTATGCTGCTCAACAATATATTACATAATTATGGTAAATCAATCAGTGGAGACTTGAGGAGGTTTCAAGTGCCGAAGGTCACTGCTTATCGTTGGATTTGACAGCGATCTGTACTTGAAACCAGCCCTACCATCCGATACATCAATATCATTGAAATAGAGAGATATCTTTGAGTGTATTATATAACCATACCGGATGTGGAATGTAAAACTGTAAAATCAATATTATAATTCGAAAGATTATTTCTGTCTGTCTATACGACGACGAAAGCAAAAGGTTGCATAGTAACCATGGTAACGGTGTCGAAACACACACGTGCACGTGTAAAGATTTGCGAGCGACATTCTGATCGGTTTTGTGGTAATTACGTTGTGTTCAGTGCGAGATACATTTTAATCGGCTGTATCTTCGGTCGTGATGGATATTTTTTGATGCGTTTAAAACTGGCTATCAAAGATTACTATTAGCTTCCTTCCTGTGAACACGGGCTTTCCCTACTAAAAGTAAAATGAGTAGTTCGGGGGGTTTCCAATGGTGAAAAATTGTGAAAAATTGTGAATGATTTTGATGGTGAAATGAGTATCCAAATTGTAAAATTGCACCATTTTTTCGAGGAGTATATTTGCCTTCAGCCTTCTAGTTTTACTTTTGACCTGGTGTAATAATTCTAAAACAGTATTTGGTTATTAACTCAGATTTAAATATGTGTTTTGTTATATTTAAAGTAAGTAGAGGTTTTACAATTCAGAAACTCGATTCACCAAAACAATCAATCACAATTTTTCATCAAAACTAGTGAACATTGTGAGTTTATTGTTTATGCAAGCTGACACGGATTTGTGCATATAATTTGTGCATATAATTATAGTAATACTAACTCGAGACTAACTCAGTTAAGCCTTTCACTTTTCATAAATTAGTGGCTAGCGGATACGTACATGGTGAAATTAACGATTTACTTTATCAGTTCAGCGCCGCGCAAACACAATAATTTGAATCAGAATATCATGCAAAATAACTTTGCGGAGTGAGGAAAGTGAGCGACAACTGTGCGCACAGGCAAGTACGACGATAACGACGAAGGACACGTACGACGACAACGACAGCGGGTGACGAACACAAGCTACCATATAAAAAAAAACCTTGTTCGCTAACCCTTGTCCTTGATTCTGTTGTGCCTTCGGCACTTGAGTCATGGATAGGGAAAAAATGGTAACTTTTTGTGAACATGGCGAGTAAGGTACATCAAAAGTGAGCTCTTGGTATCGTCGTATACCACCAGAATTAAAAAAACCTTTAAAACTTAATTTTATCCACATAACATAATTCACTATAATTAAGCTTTATAAATTTAAAAAACTACATTAATTTATAAACCAATCTACTCACTGGTACACGAAGTCTCCACTCTCCAAAGACACTTGTCTCAATAATTGGTTCTGATTATGAAGAAGCGACTGGCACTTCCTCAGCGTGCTTTTTGGAAGGTTTTTATTGTTGGAGGAGAGAAGAAAGCCATCGGTAGCACGTGCTACCAGGACCGTTGTTGTCATAGCCTAATAATAATAAATTTAATGACACTAATTTTAAGATAAAACTTATAATTAGCAGGAATTAGTCATCCCAGAAATGTACTTAAACAGTCAACACTAGATACGATAATCGATTATAAGAGTTTAAATGTTTGAAAAGTAGAATTTTATCCGGGAAAAAAGGTTGAAACTGGATCTATAATTTTGCAGAGTCATGGTTAATTTGGTTATGTTAGGCAGTACTATAGACAATTGAAAAACAAACAATAATTAATATATGTACAAAAGGTTAGACCCCGTTTAATTAGAGGCAGCTAATTTATTCTGAAAATGTAATTTCAATGCGGGCTATGTTATCATGGTTCGATTAATTAAAAATATGTGCAAATTAATTAAATAATTAAAAGAGCTCTCGGTAATTAAAACTATTAATTATTAAATTTCCGCAAATATTGTCAGAGATCGTAGGGTTGCTCCTTATATTTCACATCCTAACTGCAGTCTGCAGCTGAAGTTTTGCCTCTCTGAACTAATTAACACACGAGATATGTCTGGTATCTTTTCTGTTTAACAAACAATTTAATATCAGTTTAAAAACATGTCGTAATACCTGGCCGAGTGTGTAGAATGTACAATACAATACCCTGTAACTCTTACATATTTAAAGTGTCAAAGAACATGACGGTATAAATCATGATGTGGTGAAAAGAGCACATCAAAATTGAATAATCGACTTAAAAAGTTAACTTCCACCAAATATCTTATGTGGGGTTACGAAAATTTGTTAAAAATTATCCCTCAATCCTTTCTCCTCCGGGATAAAGCCAGAGCAGGCTACACAGTACACAGTGTGAATCTCTTAATATCTCTTGCCATTAAACACACACACACTTAATAATCCAATTAAGGTAATTAATTATCCAATTAAAAGGAACTAAATTCCCAAGAAGGCGTAAACTTCATCAAGAAAGTTTAGAAGATAGTTCAGTTCGTATTTTAAGCTGAGTGGACGCTATATGCGAGCTAGCTGCCTTGATTAGTTCGAGCTGTCTTTCTGCTTGCCTTTTAGTTTTCAGCAATTCTTTATCAGCATCCTGAAGTACAATAGACGTTATACATTGTACACTCTAATACAGTATTAATTATACAATATACATTTTGATTTGTGTGTACAATTTAAATATACATAATACAATTACAATGTATACTCTAATACAAAATACATTATTCTGTAATACAGTAATATACGATATAATACATTGTAGACTGTGATACAATAATAATAATATTAAATCCCAGAAAAGTACTTGAATAAGATAAGGACTGGTAACGTATGTTTGAAAATATATCGCTTAGTCTAATGACAGAAAATGATACTTATATGTAAGAATCGAACACCAATATTGACCAAAATAAACTATCGATAAAGTATTTCAAGTTCATGAAGGGGCAGTTTAAACTGAAACGTTTTTAGAAGAGCTTTAAATAATTCCAGTGATTGAGCCGATGAGATGGTATCAGGCAGACGATTGTAGATCTTTGGAGCCACCACACTCCACAGAGAAGCTTCGCTCACCAAACATAGAGTTAAAAGATGGTACAATTAGTTTCCATGTGTGATCATGATGTGAGTACCTAAACATGTCCTGCAGATAAGTTGGTGCCAATCCTAGCAATGCTTTGTGAGACAGCAGTAAGATTTTGAAAACAATTATTTTCTTTACATCAAGTCAGTGAAGATTTAACAAGCCGTCATCAAAATGGTCATGTTTATATTTACCAGTAACAGCTTTTGCAGCAGCATTTTGTAGTAACTGGAGTTGATTTAGAAGCTTCTTACCAATACCAAAGTATAGACCGTTACAGTAATCTAGACAAGCTACAACTAGACTGTTAACGATGACTTTTATCTGTTTGGTATTCAGCAGGAATCGGATTTTTCTGATATTTCGTAAAGTATGGAAACATTTCTTGTTGAGATTTACAATTTGTTAATTGAATACCAGCCGATTGTCCATAACAACCCAAGGTTCTTAACAGTAGGCACAAACATTACTAATGTGTTAGGAGTGATTTCAACCCCATGAAGATCTATCTCATTGAGTACTTTGCTACTTTATACATTGTACACTATGTCAAATATACCATACAATGTATAATAATATTATATACATAGTACATTGTACACAGTGTCTAGGAACAAGGTGTGAAATTCAACGTGTCAACAGATTTCTGTTTTATACGAGTGAGGTAGTGCCTATACAATAGAATGTAGATAGGTTGATTTGGAGAGAGAGAGAGGAAAATGATAAATCTGCTAAAAAACTTTTGTTTATAATTATATTATCAACTGGTAACTTATTTCAGTTAATTACATGATCAATAATGTTCGAAAAATTTAAATAATTATTCGTTGTCATACAGTACTACATTCTACTGTTACTAAATTTCAAATCACTGTGTATAAATCTTCGATTATGATTCCGGGATTGTTAATTAACAAAATCGCTTATTCATCTAACATTTTAACAAAACAAAATAACGGCATTAAATAGCAGATATCAGCACTTTCGACTGAGAATGCAGGTATGATATATAATATATATATAATACAGAAAATAAAATCAGGAAAAAAGGCAGTTTACCTCATTTTCTTTCAGTAAAGCTAGAAGTCTGGTGTATTGATTACTACTCGATACCTGTTCCTGTGAGATAATATTGAGATTAAGTAGTAGACAAATAAGCAGAGGTTACAATTTTCGTTTTATAATTGGGAATTATAACTGATTTAATCGTATCGTGATACCGTTAATTCAACAAAACTGTCAACTCATGCAATAATGCAGCAACTTTTAAAATAATAATTTTAGAACCATCAAACTCTCAATCTTTTAAAATTTGATAGCAAAATTGCTTAAAATAAAATAATTTGTGAAACATTCAGATGAATTATCAATTGATCATAGACCAGCTACAACCTGACCAAAAATCTGTGGCAAGAAGTCAAATAAATCATTTGAAAAACAAAACATAACAAAGATTACCGTTGGTAACGAGTCTATAAGTAGATTAATATTGCTGCTGGTGTCTGATATCAGTTTGGAAAACAGAGCTATGTCACTTTTGCCTTTGTCTGAGTTTACCCCACTGTTCTGCAGTACACCTGTTAAAAGGGAAAGTGTGTATATTGTGATATGAAATGTAATCCATGTAAAGTGTAATATAAAAGCTCTTAATCGGACACTACCATCTATCACTTAAGTGTTCAAACGATAAATCGTTCAATCTATTTAAATCATTCCAGTGCAGCCTTATTTTTATCTACAAATCAATTGTGAGAAAGAAGAATCAGTGAAAAGTTCTGTTTTTTCAAGAATCACAATAAATTTAATCTGAAACTTTGCACAAACAAGACACTTCAATTGAGAATAAATGTTTTCTAAGTTGACTTATTGTTATTATATTTCTCACCAATTGAATCACACATGTAAGTAGCAAGTAGATTTGTCTCTTCCTGCAGCTGGGTTATTCTATCTGCCATATTGAACTGCCTAAAATTTATTATAATTCAATTTAGTGTTTATCAGAATTGTGGATAGTATAAGCATATAATTTAAGTAAAAATATCAATTAACAGTAGCTATGTTTCACTAAGACACAATTCTCTCTATTAACCACTGTGTGCAAAGATGTTGAAAAAGAGTACCAGCTTCTCCCCGTTTCACCATCACTCTTATTACCAAATGGCACAAATAGACAAGATGGTGCAATTAAGACTGGACATCAGTGCGAGATCGTTCTGGTCGCCGCTGGACAGGGCATTTACAGATGTAAGGGTACTGCACCCTCAAGCCTAGTCCAACAGTGACAGGAGAAAAACATGAGCACAACGAAAGAGTCATGAATGTAGAGAAAGCCATGTTCAACCCACTAGTGTTCAGAACAACAGGATGAATGGCATTGGAGGCATTAATACAACTAGCAGGAACCCGTATTACTCTAAAGTGGTGTCAAGACTCAAGAGACTAAAATAATTATTACCTATTTAATTCGCGTTTTTGACACCACTTGGGGGTCCAAATTTTGGGCACTAAAATAATTATTCCTTGGCCAATTTTTTATTTTTTCATGCTGATTTGAAAAGCATAAAAGCATTTGACTCAGTCAAAAAAATTTCAGTTGTATATCTTTTACGGTTTTTGCGGAAAGTTGCGTTAAAGTTGATGCCGTGGTGTCAGTAAAATGGCACAAATAAATATATATATATCGTCTCGCTTTATATATAGTAAGATTCTTGAAGCACCTTGCTGAAAAGATCAGCCTAAAGAAAGGCCAAAAGTACTGCAATGTAATGTCGTTTATCAGACGCAGACTGCGATTCAATCTGCTCAGAATTTGTATCATTTCTATCAGAAGAAAAGAACTGGATTCTTCCAGGAAGCATCCCGTGCACAGACCTTGGTCTACATATATATTAAATTATTAACCATTCATTCTGTATGTGCACGAAAATTTATTTCAATCAATCAGGGTTACAGAGGTGTTAAAACTTTGCCACCCACTGCAAAAGGTGATTTGGACCTAAACCTGAAACACTCCTAGATTATATAATTCAAACAAAAATTGCGCCCGTTGTTTCGTAGTGGCGGACGCTAGATTTCCATTCACTACAAGCTCTAATCAGCTCACTTCATAAGATGAACATTATGCTTTAAATAAGGAAACCTGCCCGGATTTTGATGAGATGCAGTTCAAAGTAGATGGGTACAATGCTGCCAACAAACAAGCATGGAAAGCTGTTTTTAAGAACTCAGCACGGGATAACGAAGTTCCTATGGAGCTACTGAAGAAACCAGTAACAGCTCCTTGTACTTCTTTTGAAGACCCAGCCATCAAGTCTGCAAAAGACAACATTGTCAATTTTGTAGACAACTTCAAGCCCAGAAAACTTGAATCTAATATGAACCGCTATGAGAGTGAAGGGTATATGTGGTTGAAGAAGGCTGTCAAGGATGGCTTAATAGCCATAACATCGGCTGATAAGGGCGGTGCGATAATCATTGTCACCCCTCAGATAATCAAGGATATCACTTCTGCCAAAGTTGAGGACCCTTTGAGATACATACCTTTGCAAACTGATCCTACTGGATCTTTGAGAGGGAGGTTGTTAGAGCTGTGGTCATCTGGTTTGGAGCGGAAGTATGTAAGTGGTGAACAGTCTAAGTGTGTGGTTGGTTTGATTCAGAAGTCTGATCAGGACACTCTTTCACAGAGCACTTCAGATCTAGTCAAGCCCGATATTCCGTATGGTTACCCATTACTGAAAATTCACAAGCTGACTGAGACTGAAATTAGAGAGAAAAAGATTCCACCCAGTCGATTCGTGACTGATCTCTCTAGAGGAGTAACTGCAAGATCAGATAAGTTTGTTGTTTGGAAGTGGTTGGGACCTCTTGCCAGGGATTACTGTATAGATCTTGTTAAAGATTCAACTGCAGCTCTCATCAAACTCGAGGAATTGGCAGCTTCCGGACAAGTAGTTGATACTTGGATCAGCTTCAGTATTGATATTGTTTCTCTATACGATTCTCTGCAACATAGCTTGGTGATGTCAGCCTTAGATGATGCTATGGAGTCGTGTAGACCAGATTGGTCTGAGGAGTTCAGGACTTGGCTGAAGGGACTGATACAGCTTAGTTTTGATTCGGCAGTCTTGAAGAATGCAGACAACTGGTATGAGGTCGTTAACGGTGTACCCACTGGAGGTATCAATTCAGTGGATTGCGGTAACATTGCTTTGTTCTTTGTCCTAAAGAGTCTGGTTTACGACCCGGTTGTTAGACCAGAGGAGCTCAAGAACCTTGATCGGTTTGTGGATGATATTTCGGGCCAAGGTATGTGGAGAGGTTCTATGATTGGTTTTGAAGAATGGGTAGGGTCATTACGCAGTAAGATGGTTGATAACTATGGCTTAGATATTACATACGAAGTGAAACCAATCACGGAGTTCACGCAGTTCCTGGACATTCAGTACAAGTTTGTTGGAGGGAGACTCACAACAGATCTGTTTAGGAAACCTACTTACGCCAACAGGTATCTTGAATTCTCAAGTTTCCATCCACGACATACCTTCCGGAGTATAGTCTTCTCACAGGCACTTCGATACAGAAGGATAATCAATGATGACGTCTTGCTGGATGAGAGATTGGCAGAGCTTCAGTTGTTTTTTGAGCGGTCTTCATATCCTACTGATATGGTGAGAGAGGTCATCAGTGATGTCAGATTGATACCAAGAACTTTACAGTACAAGGCAAAGGATCAGGGTCCCCCTTCTTTCACACCATGGATTGTTACATTCGGTGCGGGCTATGAGGAAACTAAGGAAAAGGCTAAAGAGGCCAGTAACATCATCTCAAATAGCCGTACATGGAGCAGTGAGAACCCTGAGAGGATCCCTAAACTCCAAGTGGTGACCAGGCGAGCCCCTAACTTAAAGGACACTTTATTCAAGAGAAAGAAGCTTGCCTTAGGTTCAGAGTCAAGAACAACTGACCCATGCACCAAACCTGGTGAGAAGAAGAAAGGCAGACCCTGCCAAACTTGTCACCTTGTTAGTGGCAATTCCATGGTCTCCAATAATGGACACTCAGTCAGAACTCAAGGTGGTAACTGTTTTATTGGTTAGACGGTGCAATGATAGGCAGTAATTGTAGTGTAAAAACAGCCCCACCACTCCTATGGAGATAGATGGTTAGTCATCTTAATAAATAAATAAATGAATATAAATACAAATACAATCCAATAATAGAAATAGAAACACTGCAGCGATGTGGCCCTCGCAGCTCAATGAGAATACTAACATCTTACTCCAATTTCTAAAACAGATTAAAACTTTCCCAAAACTATCATCACATTCTCAATTCTTTCTTCCTTCCTTTTTCAAAAATCATAATAATCTGTTCATTTCAATTCTTTCAGTCCTTTCAATTTCTTATACTGTATAAATCATAGTCTGTATCCCGTTCTCTCAACGGCCATAGATAGCAGGAGAAAGTAAGTAGTCTGTCACGTTGAGAGCAAGGTGAGAGTAGGTACTAGCCAAGAGGAGAGCCACACTACCACAGAGAGATCACAAGATCCAAAAACAAAGCAGAGATGCATAGGTACCAATTCCTTGTGAAACCCTGTAAATATTGTTAGTTTTTTTTTTTTTTTTTTTTTTTTTTTTTTTTTTTTTTTTTTTTTTGATGGGCTGATTCTTGACAAAGTGTCACCGGGACTTCGGATTGTCTTTTTCTTTTAATAAGCTGTTCTTGACAAAGTGTCACCGGGACTTCGGATTGTTGTTTGTTTTTAAAGGTTAATAATACATTAAAGTCATCGTCACTCGTAATTATAAACAGTTTATACCATTAAATGTCAATTAAATTGAAACAATTTCTCCTTTATTTAGCATCACTAAAAGTTTATCACTGTTACTGGTTATTTTAGTAAAAGGATCCGCAAGCTGTTTAGCTCCCTCTTCCCATTTTACTTCAATCTCATCTTTCTGCTGCATTTGTCTAATGGTAGCCAGATCAACGTTCAACCTCTTTTCTTCAACATGTTTACTTGATCGCAAAGCTTTATCTAATGATTGATTGTCTGTAAAGCCTATTACTGGAACCATTGACTTATCAAATTGATCGAAGTAGATTTCACTTATCAGATGAGAGACATACACTCCATGATCTAATGTATCTTTGAATGCCAAAGTCTCTGCGCTCAAAGTGCTGCTTACAACTCGTTTACATTTATGACTTCCCCATGATAACGGTGATATCTTTCCTTCCTCATTCATCAGGACTATTAGATGACCTTTTCCTGTGGACACCTTGTCACCGAGGTTCATAGATGATGCATCAGAGTAGATGACTATCTTTAGTGTAGAAATGTCTCCTAACTTTGAGAACTTTGTGTTGTAACATCCGTTGAGCTCTTTCATCCGTCTGAATGCTTTATTGGCCTTCTTAACAGCTTCTACTGGATCTACACTCTTTGTTACATTTAAATCATACGTCATGAATGACAAATCTGGGCGTGATTGAGCAGCTACCCAGTTCAACTGACCACATATTGTTCTAAGCTTCCTGTCAGTCGACAGATGATATATCTCATGTTCTTTATCATTGATGACATCTGCTAGATCTCGGATATATTCATGTTGGTTCACTAGGATACCATCTTCTGTCTGCTCAACTGATAGACCAATGTAATTGAACTTTGATTTGCATATTTTACCAGCTTCAAAGTTTGATGTCAGTTCTTTTACAACTCTATCAAAGAATGAATTTGTACCAGCTACTAAGAAATCATCAACGTGAAGCACAAGTATTCCTTCGAATCCAGTACTAGTTCTCCATATGAACAAAGCAGGATCTAACACTGATTGAGTACAACCAAGGTTGATAAGAAGTCCCTTCACACTGATAAACCAAGCTCTTGCAGCATCATTTAAACCATACACTGTCTTTCTCAATCTCCACAAATAACCTTTTTCTACATGAGCTTCCTTGGGTGG